ATCGGACAAACAGTTCCATTCATTTACACTAACTGATACAAATGTCCTCTGATAAAATTGAGTTTTGCATTGAGGGATACGTAATAACAACATGTTGGTGCTTCGTGTTACACGTGTAGAGACATTGTCATTTATTACAAATTTACTACTTAACTGGGATGGTGCTACCCCACTTACACATTTATACACCATGCATGATATCGACTTGTTAAACAGTTCTTTTAGAGTATGCCAGGCTAGTATTCGAAAAACTGTTTCCGATGAGGTTTCCCAAGTATATCCACTTACAATATATGCTGCGCGCTTGTGTAGCGTGTTTAATATTTTGTAGTTAGATTCGGATGAAGATGACCTGACGGTTCTATCTGGACCAGCCCTTATGGGTCCCAGATGAGAATGAGCTAGGCGTACACATATGGGTAGAATATGAATATGCCCATATGGGTATAACACATGGGCAAAATCTGGGTTAACCCACATGGGATATATCTGGGTTAACCAATATGGGTACCAGATAGGATTAAGCTGGGCATACCCATTTGGGCCCAGTTTGGTGTGGGTACCATCTGGGTCCCATCTGCCTTATATGGGTTTACCCATATGGGTCCCATATGCTTCTTGGGTGCAGATGCCTTAGGGCCCCAGATGGATTTCCATATGGGGCCCATGTTTCAGAGAATATGGGACCCATGTGGGTCCCACATGGGCTTACTACCTGGGTTATTATCCTCTCTGTCTCTCATTATCTCTCTCTCTCTCACTCTCTACTTCTTTTGTGTACTTTTGCGCTTCGCGCTTAAAATTTAGCTCGTTGCTTTTTAATGAAGCGGCTTTGCATTTGGCGCACTGCATTTTTATGATGCTGTTGATTGAATGAATTGAATAAATTCATTAATTCCTGATGAAGCCGTATGAGTGAGAATTCAATTTATTCTTGTATCATATACGGTTGTCTCATTTACTTCGTTTTCTATTTATATTATGAAAATGAGATAGCAAAATGTGTATATTGATGGTCATCTTGCGAGTTATAACCATTAAACAACTCTCATCGGGCCCTCATCATTAATTTTTCTCTTCATTTTTTAAAATGTTTATGGTGAATTATTGGGGGGGGGTGATTGTATAGGCACCCCCCCCCCCACACACACACCTGCAATATTGGGGGGGGGGATATATCCCCCCTCCCGGGATTGACACCCACGGCAGTGACGAAAACGATGGATAAGGGAATAAGGAGGAAGGGTGCACATGACACTGTGAACTGCAAGCGTATTGGGGATGATCATCCTTTCATTTTTTTATCGGCATCTAGCATAATATTTATTTCAAATTTTATTTAAAAAATGTTCTGTATGCCCATGCCTTGAGCCATAATGCATGGTCCTACAAAAGATTTTTTTATGTTGGGGATCGGGGTAAAATTCAATGAATTATTGAAAATGTATTGCATTTTTTTTCTTTCAATTTGTGGGAGCTGCCCCCTACCCTAGTCCAGGCTGCGTACAGTCATGGTTCAGTGGCAAAGCAATGGCCTCACAACTGTGAGGCCCCAGGATCAAAAACGTGTCGATGTACCATATTAGTGCCCTTTTGTGGGGCATTAATCCTCATTACTGTCATTTATGACTTAAGGGCGTAGGTCCCCTAGTTGATAAGCATAGTAGCATACACATGCTTTAGCAGTCACGCAAAACAAACACTGGCAAATTATTATTCAATGAAATCTGAGAATGTATACTATTATCTAGATCTATTTGGAATAAATCATTGTCAAAATAATTCCAAAAATTGGTGTAAAAAAAAAATTCCAACTATATGAGCGACAGTGTATTATCATTATTATTATTATTATCATTATTAATATTATTATCATTATTATTATTATTATCATTATTCTTATTATTATCATTATTGTTATTATTATCATTATTATTAATTTTTTTGTTAATCCAGAAAAGCCTTATCAGCAAGAATGCTGTTGTTTCCTAGGACCCTATATAATTATTATCACCTCAGCAATTGCAGATTGAAGTACCCGAGAAAAATCTTACAGTAGTGAGCACTATTTTTTTTTCCTTTTTTTTTTGCCCCCGAAATTTGAAAATCGCGCCGGCCGATATTTCGCTCTACACCCCCCCCCCCCCTTCCCTTGAGCAACAAAAAAAAAGGCAAATTTCTGGTCACAACTTTTTTTTCTTTTTGTGGGGGGGGGGGGGAGCTGGGGGCAACATTTTTCAAAGTGGGGAGGGGGGTCTAAAGTATTAACGATCAGGTAGAGCAAAGCGAGCGAAGCAAGTGGAGCGTAAATTGGCTTGGGGTCCAGGGGCGGAGCCCGATGAAACTCAAGGGTTTTAAGCATTTAATAAGGGTTAGATGGGCATCCAGGGGCAGAGCCCCCGGAAGCTCAGGGGTTTCAGACATTAAATTAAGGTCAGATGAAGTATCAAGTATCAAGTATCAAGTATCAAGTTTATTTGTCTTCCAGAAAACACATGTGACAAAATAAAATAGAGTATAACCATAACAGTACAATGTAGAATAAAGGAAGACGAGGAGACCTTGGTTGAAGCACAGCTTGTTAAGTTAAGGCCCCCTCATATGATGTGACAAAGATAACTGATTCATGAATACAACAACAAATATGGAATATATAAAATTATTTACAAAATACTCTCAGAGAACAACTACCCAACGATGCAGCGACCACAGCGCACATCCCCATCACACCGCGTGAGCTCACAAACTCACCGTGTGTGTGAAAATATGTATTATAATTATGTGCAAAAAATCAACCCACCCATTCGAGGGCGATCTAATATGGACATCAATGAGTTATTTCCCTCTGAGTGCAGAGGTTAAGTAGGAATATATGGTATATGTACAGATGGGAAAGAAGAAGAAAAAAGAAAAAGGATCAAGGGGATTATGTCAAAGTCAAGAATTAACGAAAAAAAGATCAAGAGTAGAGTTAAATATGCTACAGTACACAAAAAATAAAGCTTGATAACACATTCATGTGTCATCGACATACTTGTGAAGAAAATATGACTTAAGTCTATGTTTAAAAACTGAGATACTTGAAGCATTTGTTATAGTAGTATCAAGTGAATTCCAGAACCTGGGGCCAGTGGACATTAGTGTATTCAGAGTGAAGGTTGTCCTTACATACACTGTTGGTCATAAAGGTGGAATAATTATTTTTACCCGTATTTATTGAAAGATTTTGACAATGATTTATTCCCAATAGATCTAGATAATAGTATACATTCTCAGATTTTATTGAATGACAATTGGGGGTGTTTGTTTTGCGTGACTGCTAAAGCATGTGTGTGCTACTATGCTAATCAACTAAGGGACCTACGTGTTGAAGTCATAACTGACAGTTATGGGGATTAATGCCTCATAGAAGGGCACTAATATAGCACATCGACACGGTTTTGATCCTTGGGGCTCACAGTAACGAGGCCATTGCTTAGCCAATGAATCATGACTGTACGCAGCGGGCGCTAGGGTACGTCGAGGCCTCCACATAAACAAAAAAACAAAGAAAATGCAATAAATTTTCAATAATTCATTGCATTTCCCCCCAGTCCCCAACAGGAAATATACCTCGGTAGGGCCATGCTTTATGGTCCAAGGCATGCCCATATAGAAGTGTTTTTTTTTTTTATTGGGGGTCGGGGCAAAATGCAATGGATTATTGAAAATTTATTGCATTTTCTTTGTTTTTGTTTTTTTGTGGGGGCGTTGACGTACCCTAGCGCCCGCTGCGTACGGTCATGATTCATTGGCTACAAGTTTTGGGGGGCTAGAGTCAATTCCATTTAAGGACACATATTGCTTTCTATCAGTAATATAACTTCTAAACCAATTCAAGGCGACTCCCCTGACACCATAATGACATAATTTACTTAAGAGAATTTCATGGTCTACAGTATCAAAGGCCTTGGAAAAGTCTAAAAATGTACCGATGGTGTGTAAGCGACTATCTAAGGCAGAAGCAAGTTTATCTATAAGGTGTAAAATTGCATGCGTTGTTGTATGCTTCTCCCGAAAACCAAACTGATAATTACTGAAGACACATGTTTTGTTTAAAAATGTTATAGTTCTTACATAAATCATTTTTTTCAGAATTTTTGAAAAACAGGTTAACAAAGAAATCGGACGATAATTTGTTAGTAATTGAGAGTCACCTTTTTTAAAACTTGGTACAGCTTTTGCGATCTTCATGTTTATCGGTACAACTCCGCTTGACATAGACAAATTAAAAACATGAACTAGTGGTTAAAGGATACCGACAATAACTTGCTTAATAAGTTCGTTCCCAATATGATCATACCCAGGACTTTTCTTGTTCTTGAGGGCTCTAACAATACCAAGCAATTCTTCGTCATTTGTGGGCACCAGAAATAAACTTTGCAATTTTTTAAAAATATATTATTCATTGCGGATGTAGTATCGAACATAATATCGCTAGTTATATTCGGTATGTAATCTTTGTCAGGCGCGTACGCAGGGGGGGGGGGGTTGGGGTTTGAACCCCCCATTGGTATTTTTTATGTGTGTATTTTGGAAGAAACCCCCCCCCCCTTTGGTTGGTTTTTTTTTTTTTTATTAAAAAAAAATATAAAAAAATTATGCCAATGGCTGACCTAAAAAAGGTGACCTTACCCCCCCCCCCCCACCAACGAAGAAAAATGCCAAATTTTCAAATTTCGAGACCCCCCCCCCCCCCCCCAAAAAAAAAAAAAAGGTGTCCTCTTACCCCCCCCCCCCCCCCCCCCCGCTTATTCAGCGGCTGGCTGAGTCGTTGCGAAATTTTCAGCCCGATTTCAAAATTTTTAACCCCCCCCCCCCCCTTTCAAAAAATCCTGCGTACGCCAACGATCTTTGTTTGTATCAATCTTTATACTTTTTTTAACACCTAATTTACTTTCAATGACGCGGCATAAATGAAAAATAAAGTATCCTAATATTGCCTCGTTCTCTGGTTACAGCGATGGAGCCATGACCTTGCAGGTGTTGCGCAGAGGGTGGCTAACCGATGCGACTTCGGCTTTAACTTCCGAAGACTGGTAACAAGATTTAGTAGTGTAGGCCAGAACATCGCCCGGGTGTACGCCGGCACTCTTGATTCTATAATGGATTCGTGGAATAACGAGAAGGCTGATTATGACTTCGAAACCAACACCTGTTCCGCATTCTGTGCCCACTACACTCAGGTAAGTTTCAAAGCTCAAAGCCTTTTTTAGCCATTGACAATACATACAATTAACAACTAATTTATATATAATCATACCCTTACTAAAGTTAGGTCATTTTTAAGAATGTGATTTTTTTTCTCCTGATTTATGTTTCTTTAAAATGTGACACATTAATTACAGCTAAAAGTATTCAACAAAGGCCCTAATTCAACCAGTCCTCCTTTTATTCTTGAGTCACGAAAAATACACAAAACATTAAATTGACCAGGGGTTTGAAATTGAATAATTTAACTGTATGTTGGTAGCATCCTTTAAAAAAAAAGCTTACGACGACGACGACGATGATGGAAATGATGATGATTATGATCATAATTATTATTATTGTTATCAACATCATTAATTTTTATTATCATTATTATCATCATCATGTTTATTATTTTATATAAATTATTATCATTTCAATTATTGTTATTATCATTATTATAAGTAGTAGACCAAGTAGTAGTAATCGTAGTAGTTGTTGTTGTTATTGTTGTCTTTGTTTTATTTTCATTACCATTTTTTTCATTTTGGTATAGATGGTGTGGGCTACAACCTCTTTCATTGGATGTGGCAGGGCTGCATGTCCACCGCATTCTAACACGTACATCATCTGTAATTACGGACCCGGGTAATTCGTTGTCATCATTGCATGGTCATTGTTCCCATTTTGCTCGGGATAGTTACATACACACATACACGCACACACACACATATGAATTCAAGTACGCAATAAATGATGAAGAGAGAGAACCGTTTTCTATCAAGCTGCCACTGATCTTGCCCATGCATCTTAATATCACGACCGTCAATTCATGAGCTCGATGATTCATTAGGCTTGACTGTGTTTATCTGTGATCTCAACTCTATTGTTTTGTTTCTTTGCATCTAATTGATATAGCATTCCTATGAATTTTCCAGGTACTTCTTTAACCTCTTTTTCTACTTGGTTGGATATTTAACCAGTGAGTAAAACGACCAATCTGATCTCTTCACATGTGAATGATGTGAGTCATAATGAATGTATGTTAAACAGTCTGTAGACCTCTATATGTATTATGTACGCTAGAGAAAATCATTATTTTTCTTAGGTTGATTCTGGGCCCCAGAAGCAACCCACGTTTGTTTTTTTTTGTTGTTACTTGTTAGTTTTTTTCCTCTGTAAATGAGTCTTTTTTCCTTACTCATTTTGAGGAAGTTTGTAAATATGTTAACACATCACATTTTTGTACAGGTGATGCTTGTCCATGCGGAAAGGATGGCTTTTAACATCTCTGTCAATTATGTGTATGTCTTTTTTCCCCTTTTGTGCTATTGCTAAATCCAGTTACTTTCTTTATAACCACAGATCTATGTGCAGATTTTAGTCAAGGTTATGATGCCTCAGGTTAATGCTACTCAATTGAGCCACACTCAGTCTGATGATAATATTGTTGCAGAGTTGAATATGAATGCAACACATTTTGAATATATGTTGAATGACGAGGTTGAAGCTACAGTGCACGACTCAAAATATTTTACTGAAAAACAATTTTCTGAACATTTAGAAAACTGTCCTGTCAATGAAACGTCCTTTTTGCCCTCTAATGTGCGTAGCATGAATGCAAATTTTGACAGGCTTTCCTTGTTTTTGGACACTTTTCAGGATAAATACCCAATAATTGGAATCACTGAAACTTGGTTTTCTAGTCATCCAACTGCCATGTACGATCTTCCTAGGTATCAACTAATCACTAATGATCGACAAAGCAGATCCGGTGGTGGTGTAGCAATGTATATTCCCATTTCATTTGAGTGTCATACAAAAACAGAATTGTACATTATGAATGATTCACTAGAATCTCTATTTGTTGAGATTATAATTCCTGGAGAAAAAAACTTGTTAGTGGGAGTAGTCTATAGGCCACCAAATGGTGATGTGAATGAATTTATTGAAGAATTGTCTAACACTCTTTCAAGCCCATTATCCAGAAATAAAAAAATAATTATTATGGGTGATTTTAATATAAATTTATTAAGTTATGATCACGATAACTCTGTTAATAATTTTGTTGATACTTTAAGTACATTTTCTTTGATTCCTCTGATTAATAAGCCAACTAGAGTAGCAGTTAACTCACAAACCTTAATTGACAATATTTTCACCAATTTGCACCCTATTCCCACTGCTGGTATAATAGTGGCCGATATATCGGATCATTTCCCTATATTTGCTAGAACATCTTTAGCATTAAGGAGTTCTTGTACTGAATCCTGTGATAAGTTAACACAGAAATTCACTCAGGGAAATATAACAAAATTTAAGAGAGAATTGGAAACTGTTGAATGGAACGAAGTTTTATGTGAAACAGAAGTTGATAAGTCTTTTGATAAATTCATGGATATAATGGTGTTATCTTATGACAGATGCTTTCCCTTGGTGCAAAGAAGTAAGCAAGAATATAAAAAGAGTACCTCGTATGCCATGGGTCACTAAGTCTTTACTCAGGTCAATAAATAAAAAGAATCGTTTGTTTTGTAGATACAAAGCAAAGCAGACTGGTGTAGCCAAGCTTAAGTATACTAACTATAGAAATATATTGACTTCTGCTCTGCGCCAAGCAAAGAAAGACTATTATCAATTTCAATTCCAGTCTACGTGTAATAATGTTAAAGGTACATGGAAAGTTATTCGAAATGTCTTGAAAACCAATCCTAAACTACAGAGTATTACAAAACTCACCTGGAAGGATGGTCTTATTGAAGACAAGAAACTTATGTGTGAAGCATTTAATGAATATTTTTCTAACATTGGTGCTACTCTGTCTAGCTCCATACCTGATATACAGGAAACCTATGGAAATTATTTAACCAGTCCAAATGAAAAGTCTTTATTTTTTGTTCCTGTAGTGAATTCTGAGGTTATAGATGTTGTAAGTGGCTTGAAAAGGAAGAAGAGCCCTGGATACGATGGTATAACTAATGATTTGATAAAAGAAGTAATTTCATTTGTAGTCGTACCTCTCACTCACATTTATAACTTGTCTTTAATGCATGGAATTGTTCCTAAAAAAATGAAAATAGCTAAAGTTGTGCCTATATATAAAAAAGGGAACCCTGTAGAAACTGGTAAATATAGACCAATTTCTCTACTTACTGTCTTCTCCAAGATTTTGGAAAAGCTTGTATATATTAGATTGATAAAGTTTTTGAAGTCGTGTCAAGTTTTCTCAAATTCTCAGTTTGGTTTTCGCGAGAAACACACAACTTCTCATGCTGTTTTATGTCTTTTAGACAAAATATCTTCGGCACTTGATAAACACCTCCATACGGTTGGTATATTTTTGGATTATTCCAAAGCTTTTGATACGGTGAACCATAATATTTTGTTGCACAAGCTCTCTTATTATGGGGTAAGAGGACCTGCACTCGAATGGTTTAGAAGTTATCTTAGTAACAGACAACAATTTGTGCAGCTCGGCGAAATTTGTTCAGATATGTTACCCGTCACGTGTGGAGTACCTCAAGGTTCCCTTTTGGGTCCCCTGCTTTTTATTTTATATGTAAATGATTTTCCAAAATCCTCAGAGACGTTTTCTTTTTTGCTATTTGCAGACGATACAAGTGTATTCTGTTCTCATAGAAACTTAAATACTCTTTTAGAAACTGTAAATAGAGAGCTTTGTGTATTGACTAAATGGATTCATGCAAATAAACTGTCACTAAACTTATTAAAAACTAAACATATGTTATTCAGTAATAGTGAAACAGTAATGCCTGGTAATGTAGTCTTTGATCAGGTAAATATTGAAAAAGTCTCATTTATTAAATTTTTAGGTCTCCACATTGATGATAAATTGACTTGGAAGATGCATACTACTCATTTAAGTAAAGTGCTCTCTAGAAATGTTGGTATGATCAACAAATTGAAGTTTGTATTCCCAAGAAAAGTACTTAGCATGTTGTACTGTTCCTTAATTTTGCCATACTTAAATTATGGTGTGCTAGCCTGGGGTGCCTCAGCCAAATCCTACTTAAATAAAATTCTGCTCATTCAAAAGAGAGCAGTGAGAATTATTTCGGCAGCTGATTGGCGTGCTCACACTGACAAGCTATTTTACGAAAATAAAATGCTGAAGGTAAAAGATATATATTTTCTATATCTGGGATATCTTATGTATCAGTTGGAGAAGGGTGAAGCTCCCATGTCAATAGCATCTATTTTTGTAAAGAATAACCAAATACACAAATACTCTACTAGGCAGGCTGCCTTATACCATGTATCATCAGCTAGAACTCAGCTTAGGATTAATACACTTGCACATACTGGACCAAAGTATTGGAACTCTTTAGACTGTTCTATTAGGCAGTCTGTAAGCTCTTCTGTCTTCAAACGTAAGCTGAAATTTCATCTACTGTACACCTACAGTGAATAGATCTGATTTTTATTAGTATTCAATATAGGTAACTGGAATAGCATTGTCCCCCCCCCCCCCCCCCCGTGTTGTACATTATCCTCCTTCCCCTACTTCTTTACTTTTCCATTATCTTTATTCTGTTTTCTTTTTTAGTCTACCATATTCTGTAAATTAGTGGTAGATCTGATATTTATTTATAGTCTGTATAGGTAACTAGATTAGTATTAGTCCCCCTCCCCCTGTAATATAACCTACTTCTTTTTAAAAAAATTGTTGTTTCTGTAAAGGTGATCTGTGTTTTAACAAGCTGTGCTTTTTTAACAGACCACCTCTTTTTCCACATTTGTTAAAGTCTTTATAACTGTTTCATTGTTAATGTTTTTATGTTAGTTTACGATGAACTTGTTACTACTGTTACTGAATGAAATGTTTTTTATGCAAGTGGAAAGAAATAAACAAATCTTGAATCCTGAATCTTGAATCTTTATATTATAGGTTACGTGACCTAATACAACTGTTGGTCTAAAGGCATTAGTCTTCTCTATCTTCATCATTTTTTGCGTAGTTGTTTCTAAAAATATTTAGAGCCTATATATATATACATGTACTTGCAGGCGCATCCGGGATTTCTTAGGAGGGGGGCCAAATTTGAAATCAATTTGAAATTCAGTGTGCTGAAATTTGAAAATCGTGCCGGCCAATATTTCGCTCATAAGTGACTTTAGTTCATGAAATCAAAACAAGTTGGTCGAGTTGTCCGGATAGAGTGACACCCTACCCTTAACAACTAGACCCAGACGAGTTGTCCAGGGCCTGGTCGGGTTATCTTTGGTCGATCTGTCCGTTGGGCGGGCTGTCATGCAGGAAGCACATAGAGACATAATGTATGTACATATACAAATACTTTATTATGGAAATCGCCCATCCGTCATGGTCAAAGAAAACAAATGAAATAAAGATCCTTGTGAGTTTCAATTCACTAATACCGGTTTCAATTAATTTCGTCAGATAGTGAATTCAACATCACAAACAAGTGCAACAAAGTGTATACAAATAAATGAGTACATGACTGTGTACATTGCGTTGAAATGGCACATCGCTTGGGAATGGAATGAACATATTATACATTGTTAGATCATAGTCGTAATCATATCATATTTATCTTTCTCTACTTTGTGGAAAATATATATCGAAGAGACAAGACATATTTTAAGTAACAGAATGATACATTATTGTCAACACGTCAGAAAGAAAAAACAAATACTTAAATATGAAGTTAAGTTCTGGTCATACGATTGCATTGTGAAAAAAACGGTGTGGAACCGACCAGAAAAGGTTGATCATCTAGCATATAAGAATTTATGTGTATTGCAAGGTTCTGAAATCATCAAAATGATAAGAAATTTGGCCAAGTCTTGGTAAAATTACAAACACTTACACAGAAAGATGTATATGGGACTACACGAACACGTGGCGTAAAAAGCCGGCCCCCCGATTTTTACGATGTCACATGCATATTTAGAATATGAAGGCATTTGAAGAGCCATGATTTTCAGGGAACATGTCTAAACTGATGTTCTTCCACACTTGCATAATAAGAATGAGTAATGCTCACAAATTATTTTTCACCTCTTCCCAGAACTCAACCTTCTCTTTAATGTAAAGTAAACATATATATCAAGATGTGCAAAATAAAAAAATGAAACAATTTGATGCTATATATACAATTCTATAAATTGAGAACATAAAACGAAACTAAAAGATAAGACCCCCCTCCCCCCCCCCCCCCGCTTCCCCTAAGGAAAAGTACAATGCATTTTATAAATAAATGTCAGCCACATCTGAACAATTTTCAATTAAAAGTAGTGAAGAATGATGGGATTATTAAATTAAACTTGTCATTTATGACTTAAAGTCTTGAAATTGAATCGTTCTTTTACTATCTTCCAGTGGTGACGAAACCCAACGCCCATACGAATCAGGTTTGCCCTGTTCTAGTTGCCCTGATAGTGAAGGAGTTACATATAGCTGCGAGAATAATCTTTGCACCTGTAAGTATTCAATTCAATTTAGTTCAATTCAATTCAATTCAATTCAATTCAATTCAATTCAATTCGATCGATACAAGGTTTATTTCAAGGTACTAAATCCCATTTGCAGGCCAAAAATAATGAAAAGGTTAAATTTCAACGGCATTTGAAAGATAACACTAATTTAGAACTTCCCTAAAAAAAAAGGGGTGCTTGAAAACTGCTTTAAGTGGGATTATAACGACTATTAGTTGTCAAATCGACTTAAGAGCTATAGAGCCAGTAAGTAATAGTCTGATTTTCAGACCATTGTACCGAATGGTCATACGTTTTATGCTGCGCAAAGATTCAATCACTTTAATTTTGGCCATTATATACAAGAAGTGGGTTATTGATGTAGACAAATGATCATGTACCCTTAACAGCTCATTTTATGTATGTTAATACCAAAGAAGAAAAAAAGCCAGTCAGTCACTCAATAGTGTCTGACAGTGAAGTCTTGCAAGTAAACGGGTTTCCTTGCTAACGTTTAAATTTCACAGATGGGTCATCCGTGACATATTCATAATTCCTGCAAAGTTCTACAGAATTTGATGTTGGCTGCAAAAGGGACATAGTATCTTCAAAGGGGAAGTCAACCCTAGTATATCAGAAAAATGAGACAAATAAATTAGTGAAATTTTGAGCAATATCCGATTAAATTAGAAAAGTTATGAATTTTTGAAGTTGTCATCAGTGATGGCAACACTGTGACATATCGTGCGAGCTACTCTCTAATTCTCTCTGTACAGAAAATGTCATAAACTGTCATTTTCTTAGTTATTGATGACAGAATATTAAGTGTCATACGGGGGTTGTAAATTGACATATTTGCAATAATTGTATTTAGGGTGAATGTAATATGATTGAAAATTTTCTGAAGGGAAGATATCATTTTTTGATTTGATTTTTTTAGTATTACCATGGACCTACGACAAACAGGGCAAATTGGAGGGGACCTCGCAAGATACCTCTGCACAGAGTTGTCAATTTGTATTTGATTGATACTTCTAATCGGTTTTTGCTCATACTTTCACTGACATATTTCTTTTATTTTTCTGCTTCTATTAAAACCAATTCAATATCAGGGTGGACTACCCCTTTAAACATGACTGGTAGTCACAAACTGAATTGTACATGTTTCTACAGTGCAAGTTAATATTTATACACATTGCAGGAATAAGAAAACATGTAGAATAGAAAGTAATAGGTACATGAAATAGATATCATTAATGAAAATGTAATACAAAAGCAAATACATGACTGTTAAATGCATTAGCATTGCATCCAATTACCTCGCTGCTCTCAGTGTAAACATATTGCACGATAATAAACAGGACTAGGTCCAAAAAAAATGGAAGGGTGTGTGATGGAAAGAAAAGAAGACTGTAAGCAACCAAACAGGAGATATAAGATACCGAATGGAAGGAAGAAAGACAGTGGTGGATTCTATATGAAACAGGAGAGAGAGAGATTCATTTATACCCATTTACACCGGGGCTCCCTTTCATAAAACTTACAACTAATGCTAACTTTGCCCTTAAATCATATTGTTGTGATACGTGGTGGATGCATTCGTTGCGTTTTATTTATCTTCTCGTAATCTTTTTTTTTTTTAGTGGGCTAAGGGCTTGGCAACGCTGACATGACAACGAGATTGGACTGAACTACCCAACTACAACACGTCCAATGGACCTGATTACATTTTTTGAGTTTTACTTCTACTCATCTTTACTTCGCAACCCATAATTCGGAATAGTGGGAATCGTATAAAAGTTTGTTCAGATAATTATAATGCGGTAATCCGCCGCACAAACCGCCGCACAAACCGCCGCGGATTACGTGTAAAATAAGGTGGTTGTGGTTTAGAAAATTGCTAATTATTTAAAAAAATCATCTATGAACAGTAAATTATTATACATCTGATGAAAGAGTGTTTTATCCCGAATCATTTGGTATCATTTTTGTGGGGTATGTGTTCACGCTTGGATGAACAGGAGGCATTTTTTGCGTGAGTGCAAAATTCGACTTGCGCCAAAGTTGCTTATGTGATGTCACATAAAAACAATTGGGATTTGGGTATTAATTCGGTCTTTGCAGATCCAAATAACATTCCTAACAAAATTAATCATGCCACACATATTAAATATCAACGAACATTTTGTGCGCGCGTGTGTGTATGTGACTTTGCTTTTGCAAAACGCATATGCAATCCATTTCATTTGATACATTAAATTCATTCTCTCACTCCGCTAATCCGAACATACTGTAGGCATCACTTTGGCACAAGTTGATTTTTGCACTCTCGCAAACAATGCCTCCTGTTCATCCCAGCGTTAACACATACCACACAAAAGTGATAGCAAACGATTTGGGATAAAACACTCTTTCATAAGATGTATAATAATTTACTGTTCATAGATGATTTTTAAAATAATTAGAAATTTTCTAGGTGTAAACTTTTTTTTTGACTCACACGGTATAGAGGGCTTCTTTTGAATTTTTATTTCGAAATTTGTGTTGGTAATATCTTTAATTTTAAAGCATTACATACTGCATTTTATTTAACATTGTCTTGAAGACTGCAATGCTGTTTGCAGACATGGGAATTCTGGTCTTCTTTCTTAATCTTTACCGTTAATGTCTGTGTGACTATTATTTGTTTTTATTTGATGCTCTTTTACTTTTGTACCATTAATTAAATCATGAATTTTAGTTTTCATTTCATCGTTGAAAGACAATCTTTATTATTATCCTTGGCATATAAGTTTATTTCGTAAATTCAATTGTAAACTTATACTTCTTCTAAAATGAGGAATTCTTCTGTCACAGTCTAAGTGTGTTAACCAAGTTAAGTCACAAACGGTAGGCCTATACTCGCCGTGGGCCGGGAGCGGCAGGGAGGACGTTTCTTGAAATCAATCAAAGGGCCCTTGTATATACGCAGCGCATGAGGCGGTAATATAGAAACGTCAAATTTAACTACTATATGGAGGGGAATTTCTCTTTCCTGGAGGGGCCGTTATAAATAGGCAATTTGTGCTTAAAAATATGCAAAAACAGGATTATGAGCACCAGAAGGGGCCGGGGGCGAAATTTTTATTCCCAAACAGGTTGGCAATTTCTTATATTTCCGTTCTTCTCAATGGCTGATATGTTCTACGTCATTAGCAGCTTGGAAAGAAGTCACAAATAATTAGACTTTGATTTTTTTATTGCTTTGCCTCACTATGTATAAAGGCAAAAAAAAAACTGTATAAACTGAGACTTGAACCCACAACTCTAAGATTTTATTACGCTGACCCTACCGATTGAGCCAACGATAGGTTAATAAAAAGAGATTCTGCATGATTTCTATAACCCTATCACTCACCCGAACGGTTACGTCATTGCTAATGACGTAATATATCAGCCAATCAGATGACCGGAAATATTAGCATAAGCAAACTGTTTGGGAAAAACAAAATAGCGGCCGGCGAGGGGGGGGGGGGTGTAGGCAATGTTCAAAATCTAGAAGGAAAATGTTTCGCAAGTAGACCTCATAAATCAAGTAAACCCTTTGTAAAATCGGTTATTAATAAGTTGCCCACGTTATAAATCCGTCAACCTTGTTTGAATGGCTAAGTTTTATCATTTTTAAATCATTGATATTAAATGAATGAATTTTAATCCATAAAATTTGTCATTAAATTTTGACCTGAATATTCAACCCTCTCTTAAAGGGAAATTTGGTGGAGTTATTTATAATCTCTCATTTGATACACTAAGTATGTTGTATTTCTTCTGAATAAAAAGTTGGTATAAAGGGAAACAATTAAAAATGTCTTTGTATATTTGTTGAGTTATGTTCCATTTTTAAGTAGGCTGAGAGGCAAGGAAATGTCCATATTTCTTTCCCCAAAGAATGAAAGACCTTGTCAGTGGTAAATATGCGTTTTAATGGTTCGGTATGAAAATGTCAGAGGTAAAAATGCCAGAATTGACAATTCTACACCAACGATTTTGATAGATTCCTCCACATTTCCTTTTCCTCTATGAATTAAAAAGAAACATTCCTAAGCAAAGTATCCTATCCAAAATTACTGCACTAGATGTTAACGTTTCAACATTACACGCCCCCCCCCCCTTTCTCCGTTTTTTAAAGTTTTTTTTTCGACCTCATAATACTGAATGTGAGTGTGAATGTCGCCTCTTTTCAAAGAACGTCAGCTACGTGCGCATACCATGCACCGGTTTATCAACGAGAAAGCTCCATAAGAAAATAAATGGCTATTATACATTTCGGAATTCGGCGCTCACCACACGATCATCTTGCGATCCTATTTTCGTTGAAAGGCGGAGGTTATTTTTTATGTTGAAAACTAAATTACCACTATCCTCCTGATTTTGTTCTAAATAATGATAATAATATTAATAATCGAAATAAGTGTAAGCATTTAAATCTTCTAATCGAGAAAAAAGGCCGAAAATGCTCCCAATATTATTGTAGACAGTCGCAATAAATAGGTCTGACGTCACAACGTTTCTGAGCCGATTTAGCTTCCCCCTCGAAAGAAGCATGAAATCCCGTGAAATTTAGATTTAATGATTTTAATGGTTCTAGGACAATTACCCCCTGGGCAATCACCCCCCGGAAAATTACCCCCCGGAAAACTACCCCCCAAGGACAATTACCCCCGAGGACAATTACCCCCCGAGGACAATTACCCCCCGAGGACAATAACCCCCTAAGGACAATTACCCCCCGGAAATTTACCCCCCGGAGAATAACCCCCCGAGGACAATTACCCCCCAAGGACAATAACCCCCCGGAAATTTACCCCCCGGAAAACTACCCCCCGAGGACAACTACCCCCGAGGACAATTACCCCCCGAGGACAATTACCCCCCGAGGACAATTACCCCCCAAGGACAATTACCCCCGGAAAACTACCCCCCGAGGACAACTACCCCCGAGGACAATTACCCCCCGAGGACAATTACCCCCCAAGGACAATTACCCCCCGGAAAACAACCCCCCGAGGACAATTACCCCCCGGAAAACTACCCCCTGAGGAATTACCCCCCGAGGACAATTACCCGCCCCCATGGATAACTACGCCTGAGGACAACTACCCCCCCCCCCCCGAAGACAATCAGGATTCAATAGCAAAAGACGATTTTACACATTGAGAGATGTTGTGAAGGCTACGAGCCCATAAAATCCCGTGCATGAACCCACATTCGTTCAAATACTTGCGCGTGATGTTCCTCTCATTACTACACATTTTTCTTTAACTATAATGTATGCAACACCACTGTGGTTGCTGTTTTCTACGAAGGATTTCTCTTGAGCAGCGTTATTTCAAATTTTTGTTAGACACAGTGCCCTCTTAAGAAATGAAAAGTTTCGCCCAATCTTAAATTCTTCACAAACTATTTATTTTGCATCACTCTGGCATTCGTCAAGAGCTATGTACACACGTATTGGCACATTTGTTTCTTGATTTAGTGAACGAGCAAGAAAAAAAAGGACAAGACATACTTATTTTCTTTTAATATGGCACCGTACATACCATATATTTAACTTGAAGGCAATTTTTATTTCAAAATAAATTACAGTACAAGAAAACATATTTGAGTTCACCATGACAACAGAAATATATATATATATATATAAATATATATATTACATTACATTTATAAACATGAAGAGAACCTTTAGTTTGGAATAGATCGTGGATGAGGGCCTATTATGCATACAAAGACAAATATACTATCAGCTGATTAGAAAAGTTACAGAGGATGCATAAATAATGAAATCTTACATCCTAATTTCTTTGTTGGGCCATTTTGGGGGAGACTAGCTGTAACGCGTACTCATCTGCGCGCAATGTATTGTTAAATTTCTAAGAAATGTAAATTCCGTACTTTGATTTGATACATGCGTCTTCTGGCAATTGAATTCGATTTGATACATGCGTCTTCTGGCAATCGAATTCGATTTGATACATGCGTCTTCTGGCAATTGAATTTGATTCAATACTTGTGGCATATTAAGTCAAACTTCACAAAGATGGAATGGATACAGAGCGAGAGGGGTGGGCGAAAGCTCCTCCTGGGAGGATACATGTACGTCAAGCAAAAAGATTTGGCAGATGGGTACGAGGGCTTTGAATGTGAGCTACGAAGGAACACACGACAATGCAGAGCAAAAATTAAGGTAAGCATCAAACGTACCAACATATTGTGGAGTGAATGACTTGTACCAACCGTTTATTACAATACATAAGTCCCAGAGCCTATTGGTTCTACGCCACAGCCCATTGTCTAATATATTACCAATATGAAAATGATTAAGGTTGAACAGAGCCTAACAATTCATATAATAATTTCAAATTTTTTTAAATGGACACTAGCATAGCATAAATTTAAGTTAAAACTTTAGACGCACGGCTTCCTAGGACCAGTGATCTCTTTGGTCAATATAATTAATGGACAGTCGGCTCAAAAGGGTTGTTCCCCTAAACAGCTCCTTATAAATTCTTAACTGCAAACTTTTAAACGAATTCACCGAGACACAACTGTGTCCGTTTTTCTTACGTAACGTTTCCATAAAAATCAGAGGTCGCCATTGAGTCATAATTGACTCAACACACCTTAACCCTAATAAGGCCGGGGGGGGCAGAGGGGGCACGTACCCCCCCCCCGGCCGCTCAAAAATATGTTAAAATCAGCCCTAAATTCGCCAAAATGTACTGAAAAACAGGGACGTGCCCCACGGGCCCCAAAATTCAATAATTGTTTGTAATAAAAAAAAATATAAATAAAAAAAAAAAATATATATATATATATATATATATATATATATACAAATGCCTGACCTAAAAAGTTGACTCCAACGAAACAAAATGTCAAATTTACAATTTTCGTGACCAAAAAAAAAAGTGTCCGCTTACCAAACCCCCCCCCCCCCCGCTTTTTCTGCGATTTTTATGGGACCAAAAAAAAAGTGGGGTCCGCTTACCACCCCCCCCCCCCCGCTTATTCAGCAATTTTTATGGGACCCAAAAAAAAGTTATCTCCGCTTACCCCCCCCCCCCCCCCCCGTTTATTCAGCGGCTGGCTGAGTCGTTGCGTTTTGGGGGACTAAAACAAAAATATTTATATGTTCTCTTACCCCCCCCCCCCCCCGTGTGCCCCCCATATACGCACCCGGGAAGAAATTCCTGGATCCGCCCCTGGGCATTATGCCCCCCCCCCTCCACGATTTTCTAATTGTTCGGGAACGCATATGGATGGCGCCCCGACGCTCGCTGACCTTTTTCTTTCGAGTCTTGCGCATCTTTAAAAGAATGTTTTTGAAAATCGGATGCTTAAATATGAATAATATATGATTTATGGGTAAAATGTGATTTATGACCTTATTTGCATAAATTACCATAAATATGCAAATAAGTGAATTTTTCAAAAAATTGAAATTATCATAGTATTGTATAATACACTTCACTTGACATGCGTGCAAATTTTCGCGGAGATCGGCCGTTTCACGGCAGCGATCTTAAGGGGGCATAATCACCCCCCCCCCCCCCGGCCGTATTAAGAACTCAAAAAGTGATTCGGTAACATTGTTGAAGGTTGATTAAAAAACGGTGTAATTTTTGTATGAAATCTTACTTATTATATTCCTTTTACTGTACTTACAGGCAAAAAATCCTGAGAAAATTCTTAAACCACAAATAAATGCACGGTTTTCTTTGAAGCGGACACTGAGTAACACCCTTTAACAGTGATTAACAGTAAATTCTCCCAACCATTTTTGAATTTTCCAAACCGTTTTTCCATGAAAATAAGACATAAGACAGGCTTTTTAAAATCTTTCAACACTAAAATGTCTGGAATGTTATGAAGAGCCAGTTTGTTGCAATCGTCACAAGACGATGTACTTTCACCTGAAATGTAATTAAATTGTGATAATATAGTTGGGAGAATTAAGGAATCGATCAGTGAGATCAGTTTTTCCCAATGGTTATCATTAATAATGGTCCGTTTTCACTCAAACTTTCAGATTATCTTTAATTGTACATCTAGCAATGAAGTCACTGCCTTAGCACCATTTTCTCTCATATAAACAATGTTACCAAGTCCCTTTAAAGACCGAAAAATAAATGATTCGCAAGATCAATGTCATTGCTGTAGCTAAGGACAGCCAAATTGATGATTTTCCGCACTATATGCAAACATCACACTCGGAGAGGACCTCCTTGCAGTGGTATTTTCAGAGGAGGGGAGGGGGTGGGCTGGCATTGCCTACCATAAGCACAAGGTAAAGGGGATAAAATAAGAATCACAGTTTAAACTTCATGAAATTAGTGTCGTTGCTTCAGTTCATAGAGGAACCGTAAGCTTATTAATGATCTACTGAGATCGTAATCAATTACTTAACGGTTATAGCTGAGCACAAGATTAAACAAATAACCACATTAAAATATTACTTAAAATTTGGAGACCGGCCTAAAACGCAAACATTTTCCGTAATATGCGTTGCCACCCCACTTTTCAGTGACGATGTTTCCATCATTTCATGGTTGACTGAGCACAAACAGAGGAAAAAAATTATTAAGTCATAAAGGTATTTCTTTACTTCTTGTTGTTGAAAGAAACTAAAGACGGCAAGCTAGTCAGTTACCTTCCCCCACATCGTATTTATTAGGTTATGCTTGAGTGAGCACAAATTAAAGATAGAATACAAAAAATGCAATGTCATATTAAACAATAAAGGACATCAATTTGTTTATGAATAGCGACCCCGATTTCGTATTATGAATAGCGGTCCTTAAGAGTAATGACCCCTAGATGTGAATTATGAATAGCGACCCTTATCTCACTTTATGAATAGCGGTCCTCAAGAATAACAGTCCTCACGCTTTTGTGAATAGTGGCCCTCTTTCCGTTTTATGAATAGCGGTTCTTCACGTATCGGAAGTTCCACGTAATAAATCGCGGTCCTTATGACTAGTGAGGTTACACTCCGAGCCAGCATGTTTATTAAGGGAAAAACATACAATCACACAAACACACAAACAAGAGAGGAATAGCCACATTTCAAAGGTGATGTAAATGAGTACCTGGTAGGAATTAATTCGTTGAAATGCTAGAGCGCCGCAGTGGCCGCCTTGCTAAAGCAAGGGTAATAATCGGGGCAGCGCCAGGAGCGTCACAACGTGACAGACATGTCCGCTATATAAGAAGCCACCATTATTAATATTATTATGAAGTAATGGATGGAGGTCAACGACCTTCTGAAAAACATTGTTCTACAATAAAGGAAGCAATGACATACATTTTAGGAATAAACATGGTTATTTTGTCTTTAATTTGTGCACAGTCAAACATGACATATAGGTCCAATATGATAAAAGTAACTGACAAGATATACCAAGTTTAATTTCTGTCAATATTAAATGAAATAGAGATATTAAGATTTGTTTTTGTTGTTAATGTTATTTTTTGTTCATTTTCGCTGACCTGAAGTTAGAATTGTGATTATTTTGTTCTTTAACTTGTGATCAGTCATCCATGAACTAACGGATGTTAAGCAGGGTAACAGGAGGTCATCGATGGGTGTGCATGGTGTTCGCATTCAGAGCTGACAAATCATCAATTTGACAGTCTCACTACAATTAAGCAAAGGCATTAATGTAGCTAATTTTCCAAATTTTGTCTTTAAAGATAGTATCACACATTTGCAAGCCCTCAAAATCTCGATGAGATTTTTTCTGCAGATGGCTTGTGATATGCAATACAATTTTTGAACAATACTCTGAAAGATTTAGAGCTCAACCCCTTCCAGTTATGAAGTAGGAAACAAAAATGTAATCAATTATTTTCTTTTATTTTCCTCATTTTCTATTACGGCGTCTACCAGACGCTTTAAGAAGGAAAATATTAAAATTGTCATTAATAATATTTTCAGTAATAATAATGACATTACATTATCGATAACATTGTGGCGTATCCGCACTCCTCTCCAATTTGCTCAGAAAATGTAATCAACTTAATTCTCTTCGTTGTTGATGACGGAATAGATTTCTTCCATACAAGGATTGGATAGGAAAACACATTTGAAATAGTATATTTAGGGTGCATGTATAACTGAAAATTTTGTCTAAGGAAAATAAAGATTTCTGATTTTTAGTACAGAGTAGAAGGGAGGGGAGTTTGCAACTTAAACAAAATAAAATCTTATCTTTAATCGGAATTCATTTAAACTTTCACCGACCCATTCCTCTCATTTACCTGCTTGATTAAGTATGACTGGCTACTTCTGGTTTCCACACAAATATTTCTGTAAAAGCACAGATACAATCCTGTTAAAGGTACTATTCCCATTTGCAGGCCAAAAAATGAAAAGGTTAAATTCCAACGGCATTTGAAAGATAATACTAATTTAGAACTCTCCTAAAAAACGGGGGTTTGAAAATGTCTTTAAGTGGGAAAATAACAAATATTAGTTGTCGAATCGACTTAAGAGCTATAGAGCCAGTAAGTAACAGTCTGATTTTCAGACCATTGTACCGAATGGTCGTACGTTTTAAGCTGCGCAGTGATTCAATCAGTTTAATTTGGCCATTACAAGAAGTGGGTTATTGATGTAGGCAAATGCTTATGTACCCTTTACAGCTCATTTTATATATGTTATTACCAAAGAAGAAAAAAGGCCAGTCAGTCACTCAATAGTGTCTGACGGTGAAGTCTAGCAAGTAAACGGGTTTCCTTGCATAATTTGAATATTAGGACACTGCTAACGTTTATATTTCACAGATAGGACATACATGACATATTCATAATTCCTACAAAGTTCGACAGCATTAGATGTTTGCTGCAAAAGGGACATACTTTAGTATCTTTACGGTTCAAAGGAAATCCAACCCTTGTAACAATTCCATTGCTTTTAAGGAATGAAAGCAGATACATCAGAGAAACAGAATGGCAAAAGTTTGGAATAAATCGGACCAATGATAAGAAAATAATGAATGTTTGATATATGAGATCACTATATACATCCATGCAAATCTCAAATTGGCAATTCTCTCATTGGATTGTGCCGTAGTGACAAATAACCCTTCGTTTGTCTTGTACACAAATATGAAGATTTTTTTTTCTTCTCCCAAGCGCCTTCACCCTTGGGGCACTACTTAAAATATAATATGGAGAGTATATTATTACAGGTTCTCTAGAAATAATTTTTGTGTGTAGGAACAAACGGGAAAGGGAGTGTCGTGGTCGAGTGGTTTAAGGCGCTTGACTTGGAGATGCGAAGGTCGAGGGTTCGAATCCCGACACGGCACTAATATCCTTTGGCAAGATATTAACCTGCACTTGCTACTCTCCACCCAGGTGTTAAATGGGTACCCGGTAGGATGCGACCGTCATTGTTGGTCAAACAGTTTTTGAGCGTCATGTAACGCCTGGCTGGAATGCTCCCCAGGGAGTGGAGATTGTGCACACATTGTGTGCGGGTAAGCACTGAATCCAATGACCGGGGTAATAATATATTTGTAAAGCGCTTAGAGACATTTGTATTTAGCGCTATATAAATTAAATTTATTATATTATTATATTATAAAGTTGTCTGCCGCTACTTTATACAGAAAATACCGATTCGGCTAATTCGAAGAGCCCTACCTATATTTTTTTTAATTTTTTTATTTATTCATGGTTAAAAACAAATACAACTTGTGCCCGCATTCAGCAAAAGCTGTTTTTTCAGCGAGGCAGTGATTACATAAAATTCGAATAAAATTTAAAACAATGAAAATATAATTCACAAACAAATATGAAAGTTATAATAAATGAACATATTTACAGAAATTTAACTACAAAATCAAATCATAGTGACAAAGGGGAAAAAACCCAAAACAAACACAAAACAATCAAATAAACAATTAAGTTTGTATCTACGGGATGAAAGTGATTCTAACTTTCAAAAATTCAAACTTTGTTCAACACGCTTCACTAATTTTTCAGGTTTAGTCTTGAGAAGTTAACTATCAATGTTGGACTCCCCGTTAACAAAAAAATCACAAGGAGTTGCTTTTTAGGAAACTTAATTCGTTGTGTTGAGATCAACGTACATGTAGCTATTTAGGGTGAATTGCCGTTTGGTTAACAACCAGCCAGTCTACTATCCACTTTGTCCCATAATAGTTTCGTCTACTTATCGTTAGATCTAGCGGCCATCTAGGACGACAGTCATTCGGTCTAATCCCCAATTAATCTATTACCATTTGGTCTATTTTTCATTTTGTCTGATTCCTAGTTTTCTAAATGCCCATTTCGTCTACCATCCATAATGCCTAATAATTAGTGGATGATTAATAGCCTATATATATGGGAATAATGTTTTATCTCTCTCAATCTCTCTCTCTCTCTCTCTCCCCACACTTCCTCTCTCTCTCTCTTTTTCTTTTTCTCTAATAGGTCATGGGTGATAACCAATTCCGCGATAGAACGGAGCATAACCATCCGCCTAACCATGGTAGAAGCAATGCTACGAAGGTTAAAGCAGCAACGAAGAGAAGGGCCACTGAGTCCAATGAAAGACCACAACAGGTGCTTATGGCGACACTATGCGAGGTAACAGAGGAAGGGCGGGCAGCGCTACCATCACTAAACAACATGAGGAGGAATATCCGGAGACAGCGCCAAGAGAACCCAAACGCCCTCCCCATTCCCATGACTGTGGAAGATCTGGAAATCCCTGTAGATCAACGATTGACGCTGGGTGGAGAGCTTTTCCTTTATCACGACTCTGGAAGAAACGACCCTCGCCGGATTTTAGTGTTTACTACGGAAAGGAACCTTCAGGTAAGAACAAGTGTTGGGGTTCATTGCCATTTGGCCTTCTACGGTTCCGCAATTTTAGGAAGTGCTGCAAAAGCATACGTATTGAGTAAAAAAGATTTCAGGATTCATTAGAATGAATTGAAATTGTGAGGTCATCATAAAGATATCCAAATACTTCCTATAAAATTGAAATTGAAATTAAATTAAAATTGGTTATTATTCTCGACAAAGTACAGGATCGGTTCTAGAACAATTCCCCTGAGGGGGTATTGTTCTGATACGACATGATCTCCTATTTCGATTATGTTTTTTAATTATCATGCTATGATAATTAAAAAACAGTAAGTAAGTAAATAAAATAGCTTGGAAATAAAAACATACAATTTTGCAAGTGAAACAGTTTGTTTGTTTGAAATATATAATATTCGATGCAAATGTATTCATTCTGTTTTGCTACTAGTTGCTGTCAACGTCTGAAAGTTGGTTCGCTGATGGCACGTTCAAGGTAGTGCCGACCATCTTCTTCCAGTTGTGGACAATCCACGCCACATATGAGGGACATGTGGTGCCTTTGGTTTATTGCCTCATGCTAAATAAGGACCAGGCGTCATATTATATGCAAGGGTACTAGCAGCACTACAGGAGGGAAGGGCGTTCTACCCAACCAGAATCATGATCGACTACGAATTTGCAGCGAAGAACGCATTTTCCCAGGCATTTCCAAATGCTCACGTTCAAGGATGTCTTTTTCATCTCTGTCAGAGGATACATGAACGGGTATGGTGATATTTATATATTGACAGTTGATCCCTTTTTTTTACCCGCCATTTATTGATCAAATAGTACATTCAAGGCTCATGGCTAAAAAAAAAAAAAAATAGTGATACAAATATTAGGTAGAGTTTGAAATTTGAGTAAGTGGACTTGCAAGCCATGATAAATGCTGAGGAGAGGGGGGGGGGAGGACTCTAATAAATATTTTTTCTTTTAATCATCCTTTCAAGCCCAGTAACAAAAACTTTATATGATGATTAGAGGGTAGGGGGCTAGGGGCTATATCTCTTTTCGATTGTGCCTAAAACTGACCTGGAAAAAACACGGACCTCTAATCGCCAGGGGAGGGGGAGGGGGGAATATAATCGATAGTTATACTGAAAATTGGTAGGCCACAAGGAAGCTGAGTAGGATACAAGCATGTTATTTTCTCCTATAGGAAACGCTCATTGCGTATAGTCAGGCAAGGGAGAAAATTTCGGGCAGCCCTGGCGGATTCGGGCGAAAAAATAGGGGACAGCGGTTTGTTCCTCCCCCCTCCCCCACACTAAATGAACAGTTACCAATATCTATGCATTTTGCTCAATGGGTAGACAACAAACAATATTTCTGAAGTGTGAAAGGGCTGGTACATGTACTGTTATGAGTTTTATATTATTATTTTTAGATCAAGCAAGAAGGGCTGCAGGTGCTCTACAACGAGGATGAGGAGATCCGGACACAGGCGAGAATGATAGGAGCGATTGCATTTGTGCCAGTGGAAGACACCGTGGAGGCGTTTGAAGCCTTGGCAGGCATTGCAAGGGCAGAGCTGCAACCTGTCCTCAATTATTTTGAGGATACTTATGTGGGTCGACCTCAAAGAGCCGCGGGACATGGTCGCCAGGCAGCGAGGTTCCCGCCCATAATGTGGAACATGTTCAATGCGACACTGCAGGGGGAATTTCGCACGAACAATCATGTGGAGGGCTGGCACCGAAGGTTCCAGATCGGCGTCGGTGCCGACCACCCCTCGTTTTGGCAGTTTTTGACCTGCCTAAAACGGGAACATGCCATGAACGAAGTAACGATCGGACAAGCGCAAGCTGGAATGGCGCCTCCCGCACGTAGGAGAGTGTACCAAGATACCAATCTCCGGCTCATCAGGCTCGTTACTAATTACCATGGGAGAGACATTGTAGATTTTTTGAGGGGCGTGTCCCATAATCTTCACTAACGATCAGTCACCTATGCTATTGTACAGTTTTTGATCAGTCCAGTTGAATTGTTTTAACATGCAGGACCTCCCATTTACTTGGCATTACATTATATGGGATGTTTTGTTTTACATTAAGAGATGCGTATATACATTGTTGAATACAGAATGATATCATTTGATATCTTCTTTTTGTATGCATTTGATCGTTTTCAGGATAAAAGTTTCTATTTTTTTTAATTCTCTTTTTTTACTGTTTCATGTTTATATGATAAGCATGATTAGCATCGGGCAAGCGCAAGCTGGAATGGCGCCTCCCGCACGTAGGAGAGTGTACCAAGATACCAATCTCCGGCTCATCAGGCTCGTTACTAATTACCATGGGAGAGACATTGTAGATTTTTTAAGGGGCGTGTCCCATAATCTTCACTAACGATCAGTCACCTATGCTATTGTACAGTTTTTGATCAGTCCAGGTGAATTGTTTTAACATGCAGGACCTCCCATTTACTTGGCATTACATTATATGGGATTTTTTGTTTTACATTAAGAGATGTGTTACGTATATACATTGTTGAATACAGAATGATATCATTTGATATCTTCTTTTTTTATGCATTTGATTGTTTTCAGGATAAAAGTTTCTAGTTTTTTTTTAATTCTCTTTTTTTTTACTGTTTCATGTTTATATGATAAGCATGATTGTGATGATCTTTGCCTCTGAGTTTTACTTTGGGATGTCAGAACTCTGTTTTTAGTACATGACTTTGATAAGTCTCCTCCTTTGGCTTCCTTCAAGACAGCAGGAAGGTGTTTTATTTGTGTTAATGTATCATTAATATTTATCATGTTTATCCTCTTCAAATATGGTTTTGGGCAATACGCGCCAAAATTTGCTGGACAGAAGTTTTATCGTTGCAGAAAAAGCTCTTCGTATTAATCGCAACTCTCAGTCGCGTTCCCTTACAAATCCTATATTCTTTGAAAATAGCATGTTAATAATTAATGACCTCTATCTCTTCCAGTTAGGCCAGTTTTTGTAAACTAACAGTAATGACATGCTCTCAATTTTATTCATGATGTGTTCCTCCCCCCACCCCCCTACAAAAAAATTACATTGTGGTGACTTTCATTTACCTCTTCTAAATACATTTATCTATGCCGGTCTCAAATTTTGGAACTTTTCACGTATTTGTACTAAACTTGCCCCATCACTCCATTCTTTTAAGCGAAAAGCGAACTCGTTTCTTTTACAATCTTATAAAACATATTAAATCTTCGCGTAGTCAACTCGTGTTTTACTCCCCCCCCCCCCCCCCCACAGATTGCGTTTGTGACCTTTCATATAATGTCAGTCTTCGTCCTATGTCTCTGTTGGATCATGTTCACCCAGACGTAGGAAAAGCATGTTGTTATACATTTTTAAATTATGAATTTATAATTCATAAGTTCTCATTTCACAATTTCAGATTAATCTGTTTTGTCTCCAAATGTATATGTATTTATTCCATATGTTTATTACTACCGTCTTTTGAGGGATCCACATTCTACAAATCCCGCTTCTCAGTAGATCCCTCCATTTTCACAGTTTTTTACTTTTAAACAAACGAAACATCACTTACAGCACATGTATACATTCTTTTGTAATTTAATTAATGATTTTCAAAATGATTTATGTAATTGATTTCTTGTCATAATTGTTTATATTGATAGTTCTGTTGGAAGTGAAAATAAAACTGAAAATTGAAACACTGTTTGAAATGCTATTAAAGTTATTCACTTGTGATAGAGAATGTAAATAGTTAAAATATTGCATCTTGTATGTCAATTTACCTCCGCAACATTTTAAGTTCAATACCTTTTCTTTTATATAAAGAATGATGACAAAACAAGAATAGGATTTTCACCACATTAACTCGTACACTAGAGAACCATAAACAGCTAAACAAAAAATAAATTTTAAGCACAGTCTAAGTAGACATATTCCTTTGCTTCCAGAATTCATGAAAAGTCAAAGTTTTAGGAGACTTGGAGGCCACACTGAATAACGTCAAACAAAGCTGGTGAGAAGCGAACATCGTCACTAATGCTTAAGCGTCCCTTCGATTTTTAATCTCTGTTAAACTCGTTAAGAACAAAAGCTTGTCAATTTCATATGGTTCATAGAATTACCATGACCACGTTTCAGGGGGAAAATAAAGTAAAAATGCCTGCTTTAACCTTTTCTGAGATGGAGGTAGTGGATGTTTCTATCTTTCATATGGCCTAGAGTTTGAAAAAGTTTCACCAATTAAAAATTAGAAAATTATGATTTGTTGAAGGTGCAAACACAAATATGCAACTCCGTGACGTGTCTTGTGAGCTCCCCGCCTATTTGCCCTGTGCTAGAAAACTTTAAAAAAAATCTGTATTCTTCCTTAACAAATTTTCCACATACATTCACCCAAAATATAATTAAATATAATTATTGCAAATATGTTTATACACAACCCCTGTACGAAACAAATCTATGCCGTCATAAATAATTAAGAAAACGAAAGTTCATGACATTTTCTCTAAAAAGCAATTTGAAGCGGAGCTCGCATTATACGTCACAGTGTTGCAAATTCCCTGGGTGTGATTGTCCTCGGAGGTAATGGTGTTTCGAGGGGGGGTAATTGTCCTCGGGGGGGGGGGTAGTTGTCCTCGGGGGGTAGTTTTCCGGGGGGTAGTTGTCCTCGGGGGGTAATTGTCCTCGGGGGTAGTTGTCCATGGGGGGTAATTGTCCTGGGGGGTAGTTGTCCTCGGGGGTAGTTGTCCTCGGGGGGTAGTTGTCCTCGGGGGGTAATTGTCCTGGGGGGTAGTTGTCCTCGGGGGTAGTTGTCCTCGGGGGGTAATTGTCCTGGGGGGTAGTTGTCCTCGGGGGGTAATTTTCCGGGGGGTAGTTGTCCTCGGGGGGTAATTGTCCTCGGGGGTAGTTGTCCTCGGGGGGTAGTTTTCCGGGGGGTAAATTTCCGGGGGGTAATTGTCCTTGGGGGGTAATTGTCCTCGGGGGGTAATTCTCCGGGGGGTAATTTTCCGGGGGGTAATTGTCCATGGGGGGTAATTGTCCTCGGGGGGTAATTCTCCGGGGGGTAATTTTCCAGGGGGTAATTGTCCTTGGGGGGTAGTTTTCCGGGGGGTAATTTTCCGGGGGGTGATTGCCCAGGGGGTAATTGTCCTGATACGGATTTGAATTAATGACTATTCAGATCCTCGGCAATTAAGATGTTACATACTTATGTATGGATGTCCAAATGAAATTGTGTACAAATTATTCAAAAATCGGATCATAATCAAATCGTAAAGTGTGCGCCAGGCTTTAAAGGAAAATAATTACATGACTACTAAAAAAACTATAAAACTGTTAATTTATTATCAGATTATTTGTATTAAAACAAAAATCACTAGCTGTGAAAATTGTTAATAGTTTAGCATTATGTATAGGTCTCTTCAGGGATAGATAATTTACCTTTTGCTGGGGGGGGGGGCAACAAGTCGTGAAGGCTATTATTTCTTATTTTGATAACGGAGAAAGAAAGAAGACGATCCGTTGTACTGTTTTCGTCTCTTAATCCTTGTCTGAACAGTAATTTGTAGGGAAGAAAAAAATGCCGGCCGACAGACATTATAGTACATCTCACCGATTTCAAACTTCTACATTGATATAGTACACGACGATCGAGCAAGAATACCGACACAGCGGACCCGACACAGCAACATAATCATCTATGCGTATCTTTTTGCCCCCCTCGACGTGGTGACTCCACCCAACATCCCCCTCTCTCTTTACTTACTCCCACCCATCTTCTCTCAGACGCTCACTCCCCTATCTCTTTCCTCTGGCATTCCCCGTTTCTTTTGCTTCCCTTTTCTCTTCTTTTTTCCGTTTCTCCGCTTTTTCTTCTCTTCTTTCTTTTCCTTTCTTTTCTCTCCTTCCTCTTTTTCTTTTTTCTCCTTCTTTCTTCTCTTCTCTCTCCTTTCTTTCCTTTATTTTCCTTTTCTTTTTTTTTTCCTTTTCTTTCCCTCTCATTTCCCCCCTCCCCCTTTTCTCATTTTTCCCGACAGTGAGCGCAATTTTACCGCCAATCCTGACAGGTGGGGTTGTCGCTACCCCCCCCCCCCCCTCATACCCCCTTTAGCGCCCGCTGGTTGTTATCCCATTATTCTATTAAAAGAAATGCAATTCTTCATGCTCTCGCACCTCTCTTCTATCGTTGTTTAATTCACTTTCACTTTTACCTTTCTCCTTTAGTCACAAAAACTCTCTCTTTCCCCCTAATTTTTGTCGTTGTTCTTCTTGTCCTTTTTTTTTTGGTGGGGGGGGGGGGGGGGCTACACGCCTGGCAAAGGGACACCATATTATGCATACTGCAACATTGAGTGCCCCCAGCCCCTTTCCCGGTAAAAAAAAAATCTTATAATATCTTACCCCTTTCTTTCTTTTCCCTTCTAATTATTCTTATCTCCTTTCCCCCCTTTTCTCTCTTCCGTCTTTTCCCCTTGTATTGTATTGTGTATTTATTTTCCGTAAATTAAAACTTTATACATTTACAATCTTAAAGACACACTTATAAATGGCAAACGGAGGGATGGCCCTACTCAGCGTTGTTATATAGCATAATAATGCTGTTTTGCAGAGGAGTCCGACCTATAGACGTTTCCCGCCTTTTCTCTCCTTTTTCTCCTCTCCCCTTTTCTCTCTTCTCTTTTCTTTCTTTTCCCCCTCCTTTTTCTTCTTTTCTCTCTCAAGTTTCTTTTACCCCCTTCCCCCTTTCCCCCCTTTTGTTCGTGCCCCCTGTGCTCCCCCCCCCCTGAATCCGCCACTGATGTCACAAGACTGCATGTGGATCACAAGATCCGCAGATCGAGTCCCGCCGCGACACTATGTCCTTTTATAGATCATAATTTTATTCGCCCAACTATTTTTTAATATGCTACACATTTTTTGATGGTGAGAAAAATTGGGTGAATTTCTGATCGGGTCAAACTTTTGTTGGTTAAAAGTTGGGTATTTTCTTTTTATCCAACACTGGGTAAATCATGCAAAATCATACAACATTTGGGCAATTTTTGCACAACTATCTTGAAGTAGAGTGTACATGATTTATACAAGTTCAAGATGAATTCTGATTTCTCTGACATTTTGCTCGAAATAGAGACTTATGGCATTTTAAAGATGCCGTTGAGTAATTTTTGTTTACTTACGACCGGGGGGGGGGGGAGGATTGAAATATGAAGACTTATTTTTCATGTTTGTAATAAGGCATGGCATGCCTGATGCTTCCTTTTATCGGGTCCGTCGATCACCTGCCTATAGGCCCTATATACCATCTACTGAAGATATACCAATCACTAATCAGTGACCTCAGTCTGAAATTAAATTCATCAAGACTTGCATAAAGACTATAAAAATATTAGACGCTTGTATTTTGTTTATGCGTAACTTTAATATTTTCTAGCAATTAATCACCTTTGTCATTAAATTTAAAACATATTGTCATAAACGTTATATTTTGAGATATTTTAAATTATGAATATATGAATTAATTTTAGTCCATGCCTTTTATGAAAATGTATTTTGTCTTAAAAATTTAGTTGACTGTCAAAAAGACTAGAATTCTCTAATAAACATGCACAATAGATTTAACAAGCTCTGGGTACGAAGAGCTAGAGCAATGGCGTCTGTACATAAGTTTCCCGATTTCGCCGTAATATGCTCCTTTTTGGAGCGTTACGGCGAAATGTTGCAGCTGCCCGACCTCACAATCCCAGAATTACAAGAAGCAATAGAAGAAACAAAATGTGGTAAGTAACCATTACGACTGCATAGCCCCTAAAAACTGGAAATTGTTGTGATTGTCGTCTGTCTCGCGAAATAGAAATGCCTTGAACGTTGAATTATATGCAGACTTGCTTGAACCTGTGTGAGTGTGAGTGGGACTGTAGCTTTGACTGTCGACTGTGCAGCTGTGTGTTGTTTTACCCAGGCCAAAGCCTAGCCCTGGATCTGGCCTCGTCTGTTAATCAGTGCGAGTTTGATTCAGTGTGATTGCGGTGCCTGGATGTACTAATGAAAAATGGGCAACAAATGAATGCTGTCTGCATCTGAGACTGAAACTTTGTGAAAGTGATGTGTGATGTGATGTTTGTCCATGACATCGGTCCGAGAATAAGGATCGTCCGCATAAACGAGGAATGCCTTTGCATACTCGGATAGACCCGTGCTCAAAAAATAAGAATCGTCCACATTTTCGCAGACATTTTATATTTTCGCTCCGCGCATTGGGGATGCAAAAAAACGGATTCTGTGATGTATTTCACATTGAATTTGTACAGAGACTCTCACGTTATGATCAATAAATCCCATAAAAGTAGATGGTGAACAGGGGTTATTTTTTTATTAGTTACCTGTTACCTGTAGTTACCTGGAGAGTCAGTTTTTCGCAATGCCAGCGCGCGGTTCGGGAACCTGTAACCCACAGTGCGGATGGAAAAAAACGTCCATGAAAATGCGGACGATCCTTGTTCTTAAGGATGCAATTTGTCCGCATTTACGAGGATATCCTCGTTTATGAGGACGATCCTCATTTGAGACCGGTGCCCCTTAAACATAAATCTGATGATTGGGCTTTGGCATAATCGTTAAGAAGATAGTATTGTGTAGTAGAAGCAACCATCATGACCATTCGCCTCAGTCCACACAGTAGTGTTTCATATAAAATGTCATTGCATCACACGCTTCAGTCTCCTTTTTGTTAGTACCCATAGATAGCAAATTGCAAAGCCGTGTGAGGCGCAATTCTTCGACTGACACAAAAATGCCAACGGGAACCTGTGACGGAAAAGTATGAGGAAGGATGTAAAGTATTTGAAATTAAAGTAAAAAGTTGGCAACAAATTTTTGACAACTTTGGAACTTTTACTTTCATAAACAATACATGCATGACACAGCGTTCAGGTACCGTTTATTAACTCAAAGCTCAATGATTGCACATACATACATGTAATGTAGCCATATTACCCACACACAAAAAATGAAAAAAGTTGTACAAACTATACTTCTAATTATTTTTATTTATTTATTCATTTTAAATGGTTTATTTCATTAAAAAACATCCTCGGCCCTAGAGCCAAATTGCAGTTTTTTTTACAAAGTATACATCATTGACAAAGTAAAATTACACGTAAAACACTATGCTCAAAACCCAACAACAAATACAACCCCAACCCCACATCCCTGATGAAATAAAGTCTGGAGCAATCGCCGCCAGAGCAGTATTGGGTTGCCACTGTTGCACCTTATGGCAGATTGCTTGGTACATATACAGAAATGTGAATATTATTACCATATTTGCAATAAAATTATATATTGAACTTATACAATATATGAATAGAAATAAGTTTATTTGAAATTCAAAAAAATTAAATGTTATTGGTGGAAAATGCATAGCCAGATGGGTAGGGTGTTTGCTTCAATAACAGAAACAGAGACAACAACAGAAACCAAATCATGGAGTTATAAAATCAAATAGATGCTACAATGAATTAAACAAATTATACATTGTAGGTAAAATGCAGAAAATGTTGTATTTGGACCATTTTAGTAAAAGGTAGAGTAATTAAAGGTCTTGATATGAAAAATGCAACAATTTTTTTTAAAATTGAAATCAAACAATTCGTTAAGGAGTTTAACTTGTTAAGTTTGACTTGCATACACCGTTTCTGTCAATCCTGAAAAATAAAAGTAAATAATAGCAAAATCAAAACATGGTTCATGATGAAAAAAATGAGCACTGATTTTTTTTTTTTTTTTTTTGGGGGGGGGGCCCAATTTGTGAGAAAATATTTAGTGGCGGGGTAATGAGCACTTTATTATTATTTTTTGCTCAACCGGGAGGAGGGGGGGGGGGGGGATAGCGAACACTATTTTGTTTTACTCTACAATCCCCCCCCCCCCTCCTCCTTGAGTCAGGAGTGGGGACCCATGCCCCCTGGATCTGCCACTGCTGCCATCTATGATAATCTTGAAAGAGTTAACAGGAAATCCAAACTGATGGCTCAGTGGTAGAGCAGTGGTCTCTTGACCGGAGATCCCGGGTTTGAACCCAAGTTGATGCGTTAGTGCCCTTTGGTAAGGCATTAATCCTCATTACCAAGTCCCTCAGAGAGGACTTACATGTAAACCGTTAGTCCAATGGTTGCATACTTACAATGACATGCTTTCTTAGCAGTCTGTAAAACATACCGAACAACTTACTTCAAGATAATGTCTTATAAACTCTCCTCATTTGTTTTCTTCTCCAGATGTTCCAATTTTGAGAGAGATGATCATCAAATTGATGCGTCGTCTCATCAAAAATGTGAACGCTGAAAAATGGGAGAGACATCTAGTCAAGGTAAGACTAAGAGAGAAAGGAAAATTTGCTCAGTTTCTATGCATTTTTAGTTTGATTTAAAACGGTGTGAAATAGATAAAGTGTACTTATTTCTAGAGATGACTGTAATATTGTTTTTTGTTATGGTCTTCAGTTATTAATCACTTGTGAATCTGGGGGGTGTTTCACAAAGACTAAGATCGACTTAAGCTGGACTTGAACTATGGCCGGCCATGAGCGCTATATAAATAACCATATTATTTTATTATTTATTTATTCATGTCACTGGTTGCTCTCACAATTGGTCTCTCTGAACGCCCCAATCTACAGAATTTACATTTTTGATAGTTCATTGTTGAAGGAGAAAAAGTTACTTACATTGTAAACTTAAGTTATATTTAAGACTTGGACGGTATGCGATTTATGCCCTTATAAAGTCTTGAACCAGATGTAACATGAGAGGGAAAAAAAAATTTAGAAATTTTGATCTTTCCTTCAATAATGAACTATCAAAAAATGTAAATTCTGTAGCTCTGTGACCTCGATTTATACGTCCATTGAGAAACCAATGCCAGGAATGGATAGAGGAACTAGTGGCATGAACTGCCTGCCATAGTTGAAGTCCAACTTAAGTCGATCTTAGTCTTTATGAAACACTCCCCAGGTGTACCCTTGACAGAAATGACAACTTTCTACAGGTTGAACTTCGATATATGAAATGCCTTGCTATCTTTTAAGGTATGTACTAAATATATTGAATTTGCACAATCTTATCTCTCTCCGTATAGATAAGCCGCTACTATTCAGGAATGGCAGCATGGGAGGTGGACACCCTAGGTTACATGCAGAGTAAAACAGAAACAAAATTAGGTCTCCTAAAGGTAAGATTGTTGTCAATATTTCCCTATTTTCAAAGAAGAAAGAAGATTCATTTCCCTTAAATATGGTTATCAACCTGTACATAAAGACCACCTGCCTATTAAGACCACTTTTCATGTTTCCCTTGAGCAGTTTTTATATACAGGTTTCACCGTAATGTAAACAAATAATTCATTGTAGAGAGGACCCAGCTAAGGATATGAACCCAAAGTTATCTCTTTGATTTTTTTTCAACGGTCATTTTTGTTTGTTTGTCTTTCATTATTTAGTGATCAGAATCGAACAGTAATCAATGCAAGTGCATGCATCTGATAAGGCGAGCATTTTTGTGATCACACAATTTTTTAAATATTTTTAAGGCAGGTGCAGAGATGCCAACCAGTACGATCAAATCGTATTCAGTACGATGATAAGAGTAAAAATACAATCTTAAAATCTTAAAATACGATTTTCATCTTTAAAAAAAAACAAAACATAAAAACAGCAGAAATCACATAAAAACCGACGGGTTAGTGGTAGTGTCAAGTTTTCGTGAAAATCTGATTTTTCTCTCCAAAATCTGATTTTTTAGGATACTCAGTCTGTTTTTTTATGGCAAGAGGTTGGCATCTCTGCAGGTATAAAGAAATTGTAAATCCAATCTCTACGATGATAATGTTAATGCAAGTTTCCCCTTGTGGTTTTCAACAGTTTCTATGCGATAGCCAATTTGACGAGCCAAAGTCCAAGTTCAGGCTGGCGGTGAATGAGATAGAGCCAGAGACCATGAGGATACAGCCAATCGGAAGGGATAAGATGGGACTCGTCTACTGGTTTCAAAAGGTATGTCAGAGCTGCTAACTATTACGTTTTTCTAGGAATTATTCTGTTTTTTCCTCCAAATTACGATAGTACATTTTTTCTTCATATTTTTATTTTTTACATTTTTTTTTTTACATACCACACGTCAACAACTGCCTGAAATGTTGTTTTGATCACAAATTCAAATAGAAAGATAAGGTTAAACATGCTTGAAACATACTGGAATAGGCAAATATTCTCAAAAAGGATGAAACGCAGATAATACAAAAATAACAACAAAAAAATATGTACTTGTAAATAAACTATAGGTCCTAATATGGAGGAAAAAACAGCATGAGGAATGGACATTTCTGCATTGGAAGTGTGTCGCTCGTTGTAAGTTTCATTTTAATGAATTCCTTTTTTTCTGCCATCATGGTTCTTTTTTTGGGTTGCACAAGGTTGGCAGCTCTGCTTTCTTGGTTGGAAGTATGCATTCTACTTTAAATGTCACTTCAATACCTTCTTGATGCCGACTCAATGCAGAGAAATGCAGCAAGAAATTTTGAATGTGTCAACATTTTCTCAGACTTTTACATTTGTGGATAATAATAATAAATAATAATAATTGATTCTTATTGAGCGCTACTACAGACAAACTGATCAGAGCGCTATACAACAGAAAAGAGACATACAAATCATAACAATTAAACAAGGAACAGTAATTAAGATATTATGAACAAAAAGAAAATTTAGCTACTCAAAATGTACATTATGGATTCAAGATGGAAAGAGTTGGGTTTTAAGTTTCTTTTTGAAAGTGTCTTCTGTACTACATAGGCGGAGGTGTTGTGGTAGAGTGTTCCAGGTGGATGGTCCAGCATAAGAGAATGAGCGTTCGGCTGCCTTGGTGTTGGTGCGTGGGATCAGTAATAGTGTCTGATCGTTCCGTGAACGCAGATGGTATCTGGAAACTGGAGGAGTAGTAAGCATGATAGACAGATAGTGTGGAGCAGAATGCATTAAGCACTTGTACACTAAAAGTGCTAGTTTGAATTCAATTCGCTGTTTGATGGGAAGCCAGTGTAGTTGCTTCAACAGAGGAGCACTTGGCTCTCTTTTCTTTGCACCAAGCACCAGACGAGCCGCTCGATTTTGAATTTTTTGAAGTCTTTTTAAATCCCCGGCATTCACATTTGCCAGAAGGGAATTACCGTAATCAAGCCTGCTCAAAACTAGAGAACGTACTGCATGACTACAAGCTTCACCTGTAAGGTACTTTCTCACATGACATATGTTTCTCATATGGAAATTGGCCACCTGGCACACTCTACGAACATGTTCCGACATTGACAAAGTCTGGTCAAAATAAACACCAAGATTTTTAACAGTTGTTGATGGATCAACAGTGGGGTTTCCAATCTGCAGGCTCAGATCACCTGAAGGGCGAAGTCTGCTGGATGACAGAATGATGATTTCCGATTTGTCTTCATTAAGTTTCAGCATATTGCTTGTCATCCATCGACTCAACTCGCCTATACATGTTTCCAACCTATTGCAGGCTTCATCGAGACTAGCTTGATTGCGTGGATCAAAACTACAATAAATCTGAGTATCATCTGCGTAAAGATGATACTGGAGATCATGGCGTTTGATGATATCTCCAACAGGTCGGATGTACATCGTGAAAAGCTGAGGCCCAAGTACTGAGCCTTGCGGAACGCCGTATCTAGTGTAATGAGTTTCAGAATATTTCCCCTTCACAGAGACACGTGAGGAACGTCCAGTGAGATACGATGTAAACCATTGAAGGGCTGTCTCCTTTATGCCATACTCAGTCTGAAGTCTTGACAGCAGAATAGAATGATCTATGGTGTCAAAGGCAGCGCTCAGATCTAGTAGCACAAGTAGTACTCCCCTCTTCTGGTCAATCTGTTGAAGAATGTCCTGCTTTACACGAAGCAGGGCAGTTTCCGTGCTGTGGGAAGGCTTGTATGCTGACTGGAATTGCTCACGAAGATCATGATCACCAAGATACGACGAAAGTCTGGTAGACACTGCAAGCTCAAGTACTTTGGACATGAAGGCGATATTCGATACCGGACGATAGTTCTTCATGACCTCGTGGTCAAGCGATGACTTCTTCAGCACAGGGAAGATGATAGCCTCCTTCAACTTATCTGGAAATACACCGGAAGTGATGGACGAATTCACAATCTGGCTCATGATAGGTACAAATATTTCGACGCAGTCTTTCAGAAGCCATGTAGGCAGTGGGTCGAGATTACAGGATCTGTTTCCTATAAACCGCATGGGAAAAGCAGTGTAGCTTTATCGATGTCACTTCGGTTCCGATTCAAATCATGCATTCCCAGATCAAAGTCGGCTCGTTTCTCCAGTTTTCACATCAAAGTGGAAATGCATGGGCTCAACCCATTGGTGTGACCTAGGCATTACATTTCATGTTATCCAAAGGCTTAAACAGTTATAGTAATGTTCTTTTGTGGAAATAAAAGACAGAATAAAATCATCAATTGCAAAATATAGACAGAAAATTTAAGCAGAGAGAGAGAGAGAGAGAGAAAGAGAGGGGAGTGGCAGTGAGAGAGAGAGAGAGAAAAGGGGAGAGAGCAAACTTTCTTTTTCACACACCAAAGCTTTAAAATATGTTGATTACCGGCTGCAAGCTGGTGAATTATTATCCTTTGAATCACATCAATATGCACATCATTTACAAAGTACCCAGGACAAGCTGCTTCTAAATATACTTCACACAAAAGCAAAAGTAACTCTTGGAGATTGCCCATTAATACGCTGCTCCAAAGCTTTGGAATACCCTTCGACTAGGCATAAGAAAAGCCTTATATGTTGCTGTCTTCAAAGTTTTGCAGAAGACGCACTTGTTTTTAGGACCTTTTGAAAAGTTGTTTATTGTGTGTCTGTAAAGAAGCACTGCTAGGAGTTTTGATTTAATATAGTATATTCATATAGTAGCTGTGCTATATAAATTGATCTAATTATTATTTGATTATTATTGTTACTTATTTAGGATCATGATGCTAACATCAGAGTGTACAGAGAAGAACAAGATGATTTAGACAACTCTTCCTGGCAGATGGTCTCACAGTAAGTCTTGTCAGAGCTCATAAATACTCACTTGATTCTTTGCCTTTCATTCTTGCAATCTCTATAAATTTTTGTTTGTATGTACAATGAAACCTGTATATAAAGACCGCTCAAAGGAAACATGAAAAGTGATCTTTATAATCAGGTGGTCTGTATGTTTAGGTTCCTTAAGTACATATTTCAATGAGAAACCTTATTGATGAAATGAAAAATGGGGTCTTTAATAGACAGGTGGTCTTTCTATAAAGGTGGTTGCTAAAGCAGGTTTGACTAAAACAATTACAAAAAAATAAAAAATGTTTAAAATTACGCTCCGGCGAAAGTTAAAAAAATTGAAAACCTGTTTCATTGACAATCTGCTTCTTAACATATCGAGAATGAGCTTCTTGAAGAAAAGTGATTTTTTTTTCACAGGTCTACGATATAGAGTTATACCTGCTTTAGCAACCACCTATTTTTATAAAGACCACATTTCTTTGTTTAACTTGAAATTTCCTTTTCCCACTAAAGAAACCTGCATGTAAAGGCCTCCTGCCCATACAGAGGACCCCTTTTCACATCCCTTGAGTGGTGTTTATAGACAAGTTTCACTAAAGACCTTTATATTAAGAGCACTTATCTAGTCCACCTGGCTTTAGTGGTCTTTATATACAGGTTTCACTGTAATTTGAATATTCTAATTTCCCAGGGACCGAGATGATCTGGCAGGGCTTCTTGCTGTACTGAAGAAAGGCACAAACAAACTCACCTCGTTAGAACTCAAGACAGATGACTCGGAGTCGACCACGACGTCCGTCACCAACGACGAGGACACTGAGCTTGACATCAAGGAAGAAAGTAAGACATCTAGGGGTTTCAAATACTTGAGTGGAGACGCGAAAGTTGTGGGTTCAATCCCCGAAAAGTGACTCGATGTCCTTACACAAAATGTAGGATGCGAAAATCGTTGTAGTTTACTCAGCATTGTGAGTGTCTGTAAAATGGTGCCTGGCTGAAACGCTCCCTACGGAGAATTCCAAGCCTGAATCCGATGACTGGGGTAATAATATTTCTGTAAAGCGCTGAGAAATATTGCAGATGTATTAAGCGCTGAGAAATATTGCATATGTATTGAGGGCTGTATGACCCAGAACATTATTATCATTGTTAATTCTCTAAAGCATACAAATGGGGGACCGACATTTGCTTTGGCAACATTAGGGTTGTACGAGACTTACTCAAGTGACAGTTTGATCTATGTCAGTTGCTCCATGTCAATTTCGTTCATCAACAGAATTCTTTATTTCAACCCCTTACCTACATAGTAACACTGTACTTAATCATAATCCTTGCCCTTAACTTAAAACTCAATTGCAATCCTGAGCCTTGCCCTGTATCTATGAACAAAATAAAGCCACCTCTCTGAAATTGTTATCTTAAGAGAAGTGTTTCCATGTGTTTTCACTTTTAAAGGTCTTAGCTTTGGATGTGACAGGGAAAAAAATGTGATAACAATAAGGACACAGCCCCAACATCAACAATTAATATAGCCATGTACTTGTAAGGACAAATCTCATTTAAATTCTAACAAATATACAATCTTTGCACAGTATAATGATATTTAAAAACTCCTTTTACCTTTTGGGCTGGGCTGGGCTGGCCAGAAAATATATGTTTTCATGCTAGACTAAAAGTGACTCGGTAACATTGCCTCAGATTCTGAAACAAAATCCTGGATATAGCTCATGCTGCAATCATAGTTATAAACCTTTATGTCAGTCAGAAACCCCATGACTTTTACAAGCCGATCGCTTGTCTGATTATCAAGATATTTATGATTGGAAAATCGGAATTCAATTTTCATTTTCCTAATGGTTTTTATAATAATACAGTCTATTAGGGGAAAATGAGTGTGGTAATACCGGTCACTCAAAGATTTCTACTTTTTTGAGGCACTTCATGATCATTTTGAAGTGCAATTCGTTTAGGGCTTCAATATTAACCATACCACAGACACTGATAACACTTAGGGCCATGCATCTCAGATTTAACATTGCTTAACGATGCCTTTAAGCAAGTCTTCTGTAATCTCTTTTACAGTTGCCAAGCTTCGCCTGAAGGTGTCATTCAGGCAAGAAACAGACTCCGAAGGTGTGAAACTTGAAACCACGATGCAGGCTGAAGTGATGAAACCAGAAGGGACTGTGAAATCAGAGACACTAGCAGTGAAAGAGGAGCAAATGGATACCACCGATGGACAGAAGGAATATATTGATGATAAGAAAGGAGTGAAAGAAGAACCAATGGAATCTTGCGATTCAAAGGAGAATTTGTCTAAACTGAAAACAGAAATGGAAACAGAAAGTTCTGTTCAGAAAGATGACTGTGTTGCTTCGAAATTAGAAGAAGCTACCAAGATCAAATCTGAAGAGGGGATGGTTGACAGGGAAGGTTTGGTTGATGTGAAAAAAGAGGAGTTAGGAGTGAAACAGGAAGTACCACCCTGCAGAAGAGGATCAGTGATTATGAAGGTAGGAGACGGTGTCAAAGGTTACAAGCCGGTTTCAACTCCATCAGGGAGTGAAGCATCAGTCATGAAGGATGATAAAGAGGATGGTGATGCGAAGGCCATTGCAGGAGAGAGCGAGTCTAAGGAATCAAACAAATCAACAGATCCTTCTGAGAAGGTGCTAGAAAGGGCACCTGGTAAAGGCAATAGCAGCAAGGAGGAGAAGGAGAAATCAAAAGACATTGTAAGCGATGAGAGGACAAGAGAAGATCAAGATGGTGAACAGGGTAGACCTGAGGGCGGTTCAACCTCTGCTGTGGTACCTGAGGAAGTCTCTGAAAGGGCACCCAGACCAGCGTCTGCACCTGAATTGACTGTGACACCGCCTAAGACCCTTGCAGGGGAACCGATGGCTTCCTCATCCACTTCATCTCTGATCCCCAGCCAGGCATCACCAAGGGCCAGAACGCCCACCACTAGCCTGTTCATGAGACCGTGGGAGACTGCACCAGCTCAGCCGGAGAAAGAAATGGAAGAGGTGGAGGGGGAGGGAACGTCAGTTGGAGTAGATTCTAGTCGGAAAGATGGTCAGGTGCCAGCACAGTCCAAAGGAGGATTAGAAGGGAAAGGTAGCGTGGCCAAGCAAACGCAATTACAAGAAGATGAAGGATGCAAAGACAATTACTCCCAGAGTATTCCCGAGGTTAGGAAATTGGTGGATGTCCCAAAACCCAAAGAGGACAACCCAGCATTAGAAAAGTCAGTTCAAGAAAAAGAGGCTACAGAAAAGGAGGAAGACAGATCAGCCAGAGCAGATCCGTTGGAAAATACAAACATGTCGGTTACACAAGAGAAAGGACAGGAAACAGAAGTCAAAGATGTTGTGAATAAGATGGAAGTGTCAAAGGATAAATCAGGGCCCGATAGGGACGCTAAAGTAGGCAAAGGTGTTGACTTGCAAGAGAAGGATTCCAAGAAGAGTCCTGCTGAAGCAGGTGTGGAGAGATCAGAAGGTGAAGGATCGAGGAAAAGGGATGGTATGAAAGAGAAGGAGAAGAGGAAAGAAGCAGAGGAGGAAGATGGTAAAGTTGCCACGAGTGAAGAAGATGAGGATCTTTTGAAGGGAGACGGTAAAGTGTCGGGTGTAGAGCAGCATGATGAGAGTGATGGAAAGACCAAGTGCGCAGAAGAAACTGATCCAAAAGACCAATCAGACGGGAAGGAGAAGACTGGAGAGTCGAAGGAGGAAGGTTCCAAAGTGGAGGAGGACGTGACAGCAGACAGGCCCGCATCAAAGGAGATGGAAGAGCTGAGTGAAGAAGGAGCAAAGAGGGAAACGGAGAGCACTGAAAAGATAGATGAAGAAGAAAAGGAGGATGACGGTGTTGAGAAGGACAAAACAGAAGCGGAGGAAGCCGTCCAGCCTCTGCGTAAAGGGTCTCGTCCTCTAAGACCAAGAAGAGGCAAACAACAGGAGGAGCAACCGGCGGAGACGAAGAAACCTAAACCAGCCCCAAAGAAAAGAGGAAGACCAAAAAAGAAAGTTGAAGTTTCAAGTCAAGATGAGAAGACAAGCCAGGATGAAGGTTTTAGCCAGGAGGATGAGGAAGAGAAGGAAAGCAAAAAGAAAAGCATTTCCAAAGAACTAATGGAAGATGAGGAAGAAGACGAAGAGGACGATGAGGAAGAAGAAGAAGAAAGTGATGACGATGACAACGACGATGACTACGGAAGGAAGAAAATTCAAAAAAAGAAAGGGGTGCGTACGGCGAAGAAGAAACGCAAGAAGAAAAGACTACGGTACACTCCCAAGAGGAAAGCGTCGCAGAAAGCCGTCAATAAGATAGTTGAAATGGAGAAAGATGAGGACGAATTACCAGCGAAGAGCAGTTATGCAGGGAAGAACAAACTGAAGAAGGCTGATGATAGTGACTGGATCTCTGAAGAGAACGATGACACCCCCTGCTGTAAATGTGGACTGTACAACCATCCCCGATGGGTAATTATTAATATCATACCACCCATTAATTTTTCGTTATTATAATTCATTGACTTAGATTGTTAATCTATCATTACGTATATTTTATTTTACGTAAAGGGCCCCGTCTTACAAAGAGTGACGATTGATGCAAATCAATCGTAAGTCCTCCAATTAATCGCAAGTTTGCAGTCTCTTATCTCTTTTGTACATTGATATCAACTCTTTGTCAGACGGGGCCCTTGTCTCTTGAGGTAATTGTGAAGGCCGTTATTTAGAAAATTCAAAATGATTTGCTTGACTTTAATACTGCAGACCTATTAAGTCACTTTGGCATCGTTTCACAAACCCATTATAAGTACAAGTTCGCCAACATGCCATCAAAAAGCAGGTCAATGTTACTTCATGTGTTTTAATAGCTTGTTGGCCTTTTATACACTTATGAATGTGTATGAAACAATGCCCCTGTAAATACACATTTAATAATTATCAGAGAATTTTATGAAATGTCCTTCAACAACCAACATGGCCAGTCAAGAAATCAAATGGAATTGTCATTCAATATCTTTTTTTTCATTCAATTTCATTTATTCAATCCAAGATTCTCTTGTGTGATAAATGCGACTCTGGTTTTCATACGGCTTGTCTACGACCACCGCTCATGGCCATCCCAGACGGCAACTGGTTCTGCCCAAAGTGTGAACATGTGAGTACAAGACTGACCCATAGTATAGACAAGGGGAGGGGGAAGGGAGGGGGAAGGGGAAGGGGAAGGGGAGGGGGACTCTGTTTTCATACGGTTTGTCTACGACCACCGCTCATGGCTATCCCAGAAGGCAATTGGTTCTGCCCAAAGTGTGAACATGTGAGTACAAAACTGACCCATTGCATAGAACAAGAGGGAGGGGGAAGGGAGGGGGAAGGGGAGGGAAAGGGGGAGGGGGAAGGGGAGGGAAAGGGGGAAGGGGAGGGAGAGGGGGAGGGGGAAGGGAAGGGGGAAAGGAAGAGTTACGTGAGGCTTCAGGTTTGTTTTCTCTATGGTAAATTTTGTCTCTGGTAGCATTCATGTGGGAGCATGGTTTACTGGTTTATATAGTTTCATTCAAGTTCCCATCTTAGTCATATTATTATGAGGAGGAGGGGGTGGAGGAAGAGGAGGATGACGATGATGATGAAGATTATTAGGATAAGAATGATGATGAGGAGGGGAAGGAGGAGGATGAGAAGGGGAAGGAGGAGGGGAGGGAGGGGAGGGAGGGTGGTGTTTCCAGTGAAACGGGAGGGACACGTTTACACTTAGTGAGGTTTAAATCATAGGTCTGGGATGGATCGAAACCCAAGATCTCATGATCTTGATTCAACCAGCAGATGCTCTTTCGACTTAAAAAATTGCCACCTCTCCCTATACTCTATTTCATCCATTTTATCCATGAAATACACATTGTTTGTTGATTGAGAAGACAAACCATTCTTTATTGTGTTCTGTTTATTCTGCAGGAGGAGTTGATAGTCAATCTGCAAGCAAAACTGGAAGATCTCGATGGTGACCTGAAAAAGAAGGACAGACTAGCTAGAAGGTAAAGAAGTTTTGATGTGTGGGGGGGGGGGGGGGGCTTTCCACCCTTTTAGATGAAAATGAGCCCAATTTGTCTAATTAGCATAGAGTTCATGTAGCCTTTTTTAGAGAGGTGACTTGAAAGCCTTACACAGTGATGGCAAGACTGACATTGTTAAGAAAATGGATTGTGATCATGTGAACGAGTCCAGTGACAGAGCTGCCAACTAGTACGGATTTTCCGTAATTGGTACGGAAATTAACGACCATTACGGAATGTTGTCTCAAATTACGGATTTAAAAAAAAAAAAAAAAAAAAAGTTTTTTTTTTTTTTTTTTTTTTTTTTAATGAATTAAATATGATTTATCGTAGCGAGTGCTGTGAATAGGAGCCATTTTTCATGATAAACTGTGTTGTGATGACCTGAAATTCAATACTTAACATCTTTGTGTGAGTAAAATCACCAAAAATTTCAGATAATCATGCGTCCGCGCAGTGTTGGCGTGTCGTTTTTTTAGATTCATAGCGCCGCATAAGAAATTACTGATTTATACCCCAAATTACTGATTTTGAGCCTTGTGATTACTGATTTTCTGTTCTGGAGGTTGGCAGCTCTGCAGTGAACTGTTGCAAAAAAAAATCTCACAACAAATTTTGATGAATAGATTTATTTCTAATAAGCTTTAAAACCTACATATTTACCCATTAAAGGCATCCTTTAACAATGTTAAATCTGAGATGCATGGCCCTACATGTCAGTGTCTGTGATATGGTGTAATATTGAAACCATTAGAAAATGGTGCTTCACAATGATCATGAAGTGCCTTAAAAAAGTATAAAAAATCTTTGAGTGAACGGTTTTACCATACTTATTTTCCCCCAATAGACTGTAGTGTTGTAAAAACTGTCAGGAAGATGACAAACAAAATTTTGATTTCCAATCATAAGTATCTTGATAATCAGACAGGCGATTGGCTTGTAAGAGTCATGGAGTTCCTGACTGACCTAAAAGTTTATAATTATGATTGCAGCATGAGCTAAATCTAGGATTTTGTTTCTGAATCTGAGGCAATGTTACCTAGTCACTTTAAGCGCAAGCGAGCCCAAACTAGCCATGTAGTTGCCCCTTTGAATATTGCTATGTTTTATCATTTTAAAAGCTATCGCTATTATCTAGCTCATATATCTTTGTTCCTGAAGCTGATATTATTATTATTATAATTATTATGATGCCTGTTTATTTCCTGCCCTTTAATCATCATTTGTTCTCTTGCTTTTATATTTCACCTGCAGGGATGAAAGAAAGCTGAAATATAAATACACTGATGTGTGTGCCGTCAATATATTGCCAGAGGTATGTATTAAAGGATGTTAAATCTGAGATGCACGGCCCTACGTGTTATCAGTGTCTGTCATATGGTGTAATATTGAAGCCCTAAACAAATCGCGCTTCAAAATGATCAAGAAGTGCCTCAAAAAAGTAAAAATCTTTGAGTGACCGGTTTTACCATACTCGTTTTCTCCAATAGACTGTAGTGTTATGAAAACCGTTTGACAAACGGTTTTCAAAATTTGTAATTCCAGTCATAAATATTTTGATAATCAGACAGGCGATCGGCTTGTAAAAGTCATGGGGTTCCTGACTGACCTAAAGGTTTATAATTATGATTGCAGCATGAGCTAAATCCAGGATTTTTTTTCAGAATCTGAGACAAAGTTCACCGGATCCCTTTAAAGGGCAATCTAACCCTTGTAATAAGTTTATTTGTATGAGAGCAAAAAAAATAACAAACAGAATGGCAACAGTTTGAAATGAATCGGATCAATATTAAGGAAGTTATGAATGTTTGAAATATGAGATCACTTAGTATATGCGAATCTCAAATTGGTAGTTCGGTCAGTGGATTGTGATGTAGGACGTGGATAACTCTCCCATTTGCGTGTACAAAAATATCATTAATTTCTGTTCTTCCTCCCTTGGGGCACTACTCAAAATATATTATAGATAGCAAAATTATTATAGGTCCTCTAAAAAGAATAGACCATCCTGAGCAATAAATATTTGAATTTTTAAAATTTTAGTCATTTTATATGTTGGAACTGGTAATTACTACATCGCATTTCTTTATTTGATTTGATTTCTGCATTTTTTCCAAATATAATATAACTGAATAACAAAAAACATATAAATGTAAGGTATAATTCAACATATAAATTCTTCATGTCAAAATGGTTTTTTTTACATAATATATGTACATATAATAAGAAACATAATATTTCCATAACATATCATAAATTTAAAGTATTATCCAAACTATTCTGTTGGAAAAGTGCAGGAGACCGCAATCGTAAGCAAAGCTTGACAAGGGTGGGGGCCTCAATCTTCCCGCTTCGCTCAGTACAACAAAATTGACATTGACATTACTGCTTCAGCCAATTTAAAGTGCCCATACATACAGTGATAACAACTTTCAAAAATTCATAACTTTCTTATAATTAGACAATTATCCCTAGTTTAGGCCCTAGTCTCATTGTACATAACTAGCTTATACTTGATTTTGTATATGTAATCTCTTGCAACAGGATACAACGGTAGTAGAAAAGAAGAAGAGATCACGACGTAATGATTACGAAGAAGAAGAAGACGAAGAGGAGGAGGTTGAATACGAGGATCAACGCAACCACAGATCCCACGGCTCGCGATCACGTCGATCACAGGGTTCGCGGTCGCGCCGATCACAGGGCTCACGCCGTCGACGATCGCGAAGCTCACGACATCATCAAGATCGGCGAAGTAGACCTCGCCGATCTCAGAGAGACTTTGTGGTGCCCGATTTCGAAGATGATTACGAGGTCGTGAGTCGGAGGTCGCAGAGGTCGCGTAAGACTATTGATTACAGCTTCAATGACTTTGACTCGGCTATCAAGACGGCCATCAATGACGAGGTAGAGGAACATAAAAAAGGTTAGATTCTCAATTTTTAACAAAATTATTGGGTCTTGGATGGGGATAATTAAGGTTCAAATATAACAAAATGGATTGTACCATCTTGATCAATTTATTGTGATATCACTGGTCTGAACAGTTCACTTGCTATTGTTAGTGTTAGCAATTTGTACCGGGACTTAGGCAATGCATTCTATTTATATCTTCCTTTCTTAACAAAAAAATTGAGAAAAAAACCCTTGTGTTGTATGGGGAATTTCACGTAATGTAATATTACAAATAGGAGATGCAAAACTAGGTTTGGTTTAAACCTAGGTAGTGAAGCATGGCACACTAGTTCACAGCACTGCACAAAAGTATAGAAATAATCTACTGGTACCCAGAAGGCTGTACAATCACTGGAAGAAGAACTGTATGTCATTATCATTAACCACCATTACTCCTATGATTGTCATCATCATCATCATTGACACCATCAATTATCACTATCATCATCATCATCATAACCATCATCATCAACATCATCATCACCATCATCATCATCACCATCATCATCATTATCTTCATCATCAATTATCATCATCAACAACATCATCGACATCATCATCAAAATCACTATCATCACAATCACTACCACTATCGTAATCATCATCACCATTATCATCGTCACTACCACAATCATCACCATTATCATCGTCACTACCACAATCATCACCATTATCACCATCATCATCATCACCATCATCATCATCATCATCATCATCATCATCATCATCACTACCACCACCACAATCATCACCATCACCATCATCATCATCTTCATCATCAATTATCATCATCAACAACATGATCAATCATCATCATCGACATCATCAACATCATCACAATCACTACCATAATCACTACCGCTACCATCATCATTGCCGTCACTACTATCTCTCTGTTTTCTTCTCCTATCAGCGGTGGACCAAATCAAGTCCCGCTGGGGGGTGAGCCGAGGGAAGGACATGTCCACCATCATGGGAGACGAAGTCGACGAGGAGGAGGAGCAGGAGGGGGAGGAGGAGAAGGAGAAGAGAGCCGAGGAGGTGGATGGAGAAGCTGAAGAGGGGAAGAGGCGAGACAGGAAAGGGAAGAAGAAGAGACGGCTCAACGATCTGGACGGGTCTAGCGAGGACGAGAACAGCGAAGACTTCAAGGTGGACAGGTAAAGCATAACTTTGGCAAGGCATTAATCTTCATTTGCCACACTCGACCCAGGTGAGGTAAATGGGTACCTGGCAGGAATTAATTTCTTGACATGCTAGAGCGCTGTAATGGCAGCTAGACTAAAGCCGGGGTAATAATAAATGCGCCTCAGAATAGAATTTCTAGATAGACGGCGCTATAGAAATGCCTATAATTAACTCGCCTTACTTGAAAATAGATCATTCATACGATTATAATAATGATAATGATAATAATGGGGGCTTCTTGTACAGAGTACCCCCAAAAAACTGCCTCCTATACTTCCAATAATGCAGGACAAATGTCAGTGGTACTAGTAAATGGGGAATATTTGTACACAAAAAAATGATACCAAATTTGCCGAAAAAGGTTGAGTATTGCTTTTCTGGAATTTTTGTGATTTAATGTTGAAGACATTCACTAACACTGCTCCTCTTTAATAAAAACATATCGTTGTGTATTTTCAGAGATGGTATTAGCCTAAGCATTGGGCAAGCAGTAATAAACCCAAGATTAAACACAACATAACATTCCACACACATTTTTTTTTTTCCTTGACAAGAATAGTCGGCCTTTATCAAAAATTTAGTTTTCGGTGTTGCCTGATCATCTTTTATGGATGTCTTAATGAAAACCCGAAAGAGAAAAACAGAAATGAGACAAGAGAAAAGCAAGATTGAGTGTAGGAATGCATTACCCGTCGCTATCAGACTTCTCAACTTCACTTCCCTTCCTCACCTTATCTTCCCTTCCGCAGTGAGAACGAGAGTGAGTCGGCCGAAGATGGCAGTAATTTCTCTGAAGCGAGTGAGGACAGCTTCTTGACATCGAGACGTCGCGCATCGAGACGAAAGGCACCCTCAAAGAGGAGCCTTCGCTACGCCGGCATGCCGCGAAGGAAGAGTGAGAGGGGGAGGAAGAGGGTGAGGTACTACAGCTCAGCGGAAGATGATGAAGGCAGCTATTACTCCGGAAGCTCAGGTGGCAGTTACACCGGTAAGTATTGGGAATAGAATGACGATTATTGTGGGAGAACCACAATGATATTGTATCAATGGAAAGCTGAATGAATGTAGTATAGTTGATATTATTGTATTCTATGGCTTATAAGCTTTCCGTTAATATAATTCATCCATTTCATTTATCACTTCCAACAGTAAATCAAGAACAAAGCATCAACAGATCTTAGAACAATCTGAGATAATAGTTGCCATGTTTCACTTTAATTTCCTTATTGCTATCATTAAAGATAAACTTGAGTTCTTGATAAAAAAAAAGAAATAGAATTCTCACAGAATCAAACAAAACTTACACGGAATGTTCAAGATTACAAATAAATGTCATTTGCCAAACAATTTTGGTAGAAAATGTATACTGGCTGAGTAATGAGCATAGAAAGGAAAGGAAATCAAGGTAAGTAGGCCCGGCACCATTTGTGTAGTCCCATATACATCTTTCTGTGTACAGTGCTTGTTACTTTACCAAGACTGGGCCAAATTTATTATGATTTTGATGACTCCAGAACCTTGCAGTATACACCAATACTTACATGCTACATTATCAATTTTTTATGATCCATTCCACACCTTTTCTTTCACAATTCAATCGCATGACCAGAACTCAACTTTATCTTTAATGTTTATTATCTTTAACAGGGAGTGATTCTGAGGATGATGAGGGGACCTCTGGAGGAAGACGGAAAGCCGCGGCCAAGGTCATCTCCTACAGAGAATACTCCGACAGCGACGAGGGGAGATTGAAGAAGAGGAAGCAGGCGGCCAGGACCCCGACGCCTTCTCCGTCGTCATCTTCCGAGGTCGAGGATTACACCCAACGAAAAAGGAAATTCCGCATCGATAGTGATGAGGAGGAGGAGGAGGACGAGGAGGAGGGAGGGGAGAAGACGAAATCGAAGAGAAGGATTGAAAGTGACAGTGAGGATAGTGATATTGGAAGGAGGAAAAAGAAGAAGAATAGCATCGATCTCCAGCGATCTTCTCTGCGGAAGCTATCCACAAGGATCGACTATAAGAAAATGGCGGGGGAGAGCACAGAATCGGACGAAAATGATAGTAAGAGTGAGCGGGATCAGGACTCAAACAAGGAGAATGAGGACGAATCTGGCGACGAAAGCAGTGATGAGGCTGTTAGCCAGAAAGTGAGGACTACCAAACAACTCCCCCATTCGCAAATGGGACAATCTTACATTCCAACCACTGTCAATGGGGGTGCTAGTACAGGAGGCCTTCACGACGGGGCTGCTTCACCGGGGGAGAGGGATGCTCATGGTGGCGCAATCGGAGGGACTGTAAATGGAGAAGGTGAGGAGGAGGACGACCTTTTACAGGTCACCGACCTGATCGACTATGTGACACAAGACATTTGAGGTCAAAGGTGAAATATCGTATCTTTGTATTTGTGAGGAATTATCTGTATATAGGTATTTTGGGGGATATATTAATGTAATTTTGTTTTGTGTTTTATGTCAGATTGTAATTACGTTGTCTGTCAATCATGTTAGCTTTTAATCTTGAAACAAAATTGCCTCAGATAATAGAAGATGCAAAAAACGATACTGCCAAATAATGGTCTTCAATCATTTAAACACTGATATAATCTTAGTCTGTCTTGTATCTGAATTGCCAAAGTATTGTAAATCACTACTAAATTTCATTGGTCAACAGTAATCCTGATGCATATTATCTGACCGGCTCACAGCCAATCATTTGATTAGGCTGCATCTATCCATTTTTATAATAGTTCAGAACAAACTACTGTTAAATCATCATACACATTCAAATCAACAAATCATGTGTAAAACGCAAAATGAAAAAGTAAAAGAAATGTACTTTTCCATTTGTGATAGATGATATATTACTTGCCTACATTTGAGTACATGAATGGTTTAAATAGCATTACAATTTTTAATGAAAATTAAAGCCTCCATATATGCTTCTAAATTGTATTATGGTTTAATAATTAGTCATGAAAAAAGTTGTGATTAATGGTCGGTCTGCCATGTGCTTTCTGATCATCTTCTTTTGTTGGGGCAAACTGTGAGAACAACTATTAGGACATTAAATTGTTATAAGTATTATTAAGGTGATAGATTTTGTTTAATGGTTGGTTTTACCTGACTGCTAAGAAAGCGTGAAAACTCTTGTAAATAAGCAACCAGATGACCGCTGGCTGTAAGTCCTCTGTGAGGGACTTGGTAATGAGGATTAATGCCTTACCAAAGGGCACTAGCGCAATAGTTGGTTTCGACAACTCATCTAACATTGAGCCATGGTGCGTCCCAGTATGATAATGAAGAGAAGTTTTAAATATTCATTGTTGAAACAAACTTTCTTTTTGTTTTATTTATAGCAGTGCTTTCAACCACGCAAGTATATGTACAGCTCATTGATGGTTAAAAATGTGAGAAATCTCTTGAATAAATGCTGCAGATCTTTGCATCTAGAAATGTAGATTAGATGTGCTTCCATCCCTTGAATAGGATGTAAAAAATGAAGGTCCTGTGTGTGTATAATGATGAGTCAAACCCATACTCTATGCATTAATTAGTAATGATTGAATATCGTTGTAGAAGCCTAACCTTGTCAATATTTATTTTTCTTGCAATGCGCATCTCTATGGGTCTCTGTTACATACAATCTAATTGGAGTAATTAAAGGTTTAACAATGAGCTACTACATTTCTACAATACTGCTTGAACAAATACTTTTATGGCTTATGGGTCTCTTTTACGTAAAATCTACTAGCAGTATTTAAAGGGAATGAGCTACAATGTACCGGTACTACATTTCTACACTATTGCATTTAAACTATTACCGGTACTGGTACTTTTCTGTCCAGATATGTCAAGGAATGACGGGCACAGACATTTTTTCAGCAAGTTTGTATTTTTGCGATAGTTAACACAGGTTATTTGCAATATTTGATAACACATAGAAACATATGCATGGATCATGTACAACTTAGAACCTTTCAATACAGCACGTTTTTCTTGTAACATGCATCTCCATGATTCTGATATGAAAAATGAAAATGTTCCGCTGTATCAAAAGGGGTAACTGTGAGCTACGCAATTTTTTTAATACTGTAGATGTGCTGTGGTGTAGTGGACTAGTCACCTAACTGTAGATCAGAAGATATGGGGTTCGCTCAGCACTGGTGTTCGTTGGCAAGACTTTAAGCTCATTTGGGTAACCTTTAATTTCTGATTTGTCTTGGTACCTGCTTTCCTTGCCCATCCATTGTTCATTACTTATAATGTACAAGCTTTTGTATCAAGATCACAAAGAATTTTGGTTTAAATCAACCTACTGGTAATGTCATTTCAATAGTGTTGTTCATTACCTTTTGTAACGTGGGCACATGTACAAGGTTTTTGTTACAGATCGCAAAAATTGATTGAGGTCCATGACCTCCTGTTAGAACATGACAATGATATATTATTTGAGGTGGTTTTATTCATTAATAAGCATTCATTCAAAATAGCAGCCAAAGACTGAAACAAATTGAATTCACAAAAGATTAAAAACTACATTAGAATGCAATACATTTTAATTGGTTAAATAAGATACACTAATATGCACAGTAATATACATATAAACAATAACGTTGCACAAATTAAAGTCATCAAGGAAATGGAAAAAGACAGAAATGAAAAGGACAGACGAGAAAAGGGTTGAAATGAAGAAGAGGGAGAAAAGGCATGCTTGGATAAACATAAACAACTGTTTTGTAATCATAACATGATATTCATAGGCAAATATTGATACAATCAGGTTTTGAATTTGCTCTTGAGTTGAGTTCTTGAGAGCCTTTGCGATCGTGCTGTGCAGAAAAAAGGCAATTTTTATAAGAAATACACCCTTTCACATCTGTATTTAATTGATGTATCTCTTCCATATGTTTGGCGGTTTACTTTTGATAATAGGTCAAACGCCTAAATAGAAAGAGCCAGATGAAAATGCAGGTTATGTGCATTGCATTTTGCTGTGTCAGGCAAGGTATTTTCTCATCAAGATGATCGGTTAAAGCAGAAGTGCGTCAAAATCGTTTGTTTTTGTATGACCGCAGTTTGGGTTCGATAGTGTCAATTATCCCATTAGGATGTTTGTTTTGATTAAGCCTTTAAATCAACTTTCGGAGAACCGACAGGAAAGTGTTCCTTCCTGTTATATTGGAATAAAGGCCACAACAATGGAATGAATGGAGATAATTTAGGAATTCCTTTACATGCAAAATCGAAAAGGGCAATAACTTGGTGTTAAGATGAAATGTGGTAATGAGATCAAATAGTGTTATTGCTTTAGCTACCCGTTAAATCTGTTTCAAAAGAAGAAGCGTAAGATTTGCACCTTAGGACATCTGCCCCCTGGTTCGGTGCAAACAGAAAGTGGTGTAGAAAATATACATGTAGTGTATACCCAGGCAGTGTCGTAGTCCAACAGTTTGAATCACTTGACTGGAAATGCTAGGGACATTGGTTCAAACCCCGGCAGGCACTTATATCCTTGGCATTTTATCTACATTGTTCCTCTCCACCCAGGTGTTAAATGGGTACCTGGTAGGATGCGTATGTCATTTTGGTTGGATTAGCCTGTTAAAGGTGACTAGCTGGAATGCTCCCCAGGGAGTGGAGAGCGTTCACTATAGTGTGCAGCATAGTAATTGAATCCAGTGATGGAGGTAATAATATACTGTACTGACTTTTGTCACGTCATGTGAAAATGCTTTAAGAAACAGGTATTGTTATTATCAAAATGCGTGTTTAAAGTCGAGACACATTTCTATGGGATGTCGAAGAACTTGAACTTTTGATGGTTTCATGAAACAATGCAAGGGAAACAGAAATAGAAAGTAAGTAATCAAGTCTTTGTGATGGAAAGTCCATTTTGTCAGCCAAGGCACATGTTCCCTAGTGTTGAAGGTGCATTGCAATAGCAAATGAAACAAACGAACAAGTGTATTGGAAAAGAAACACTCTATGAGATACGTATTGGTAGAAAACCTTTTAAGTTTTCCGTACTCGTCATCCAGTTATGAAAACTTGTCATCCATAGTTTTGAAAACTTAGATGATCAAGATTTAGATTTGGGTTTTGTTGCTTTGAATCTCATGTTATACATCCTCACTGTTTAAATTTTGATTTTATGTTTTAAATTTCTTGTTGAATTGTTTCTTGAATCAAGATCAGCTATTATATTGCATTCCTGTATTCTGTTATTTTGTTTTGTTTATTAAGTTTCCTTTGGTCATCCCATTTATGCATTGTATTGTCTCCTAATTATTTTTTTTTTATAGAGTCTTATTTTCACCAAAATTGGTAATGTACATTTATATCCTCAATGATTGTATTTTTCAATTTCAAATTGATTTTGAAATAAGTAGCATTTTGACCTTATTTAGGTGAAAGATTTGCAACTCAAAGTATTGGCTGTGCATTATTCATGCATCTAGCAGGCTTTTTATTGTTGTTTTAAGGGGAAATCCAACCAAAACGTATTTGCATGAAAACAGACAAAAAGAGAAACAGAAAGGTGAAAGTTTGAATTAAATTGGACAAATGATAAGAGAGATATGAATGTTTGAAATATGAGATCCCAAAACGTATGCGAATCTCAGATTGGCAGTTGGTCAGTAGATTGTGACTTAGACATGGACAACTCAATTGAGAGCTGTGGTTTTTATTGAAGATGATTTCCAGCAAGTTTTTGTGAGGTTGTTTTATTTTAATGGTTCAAACAATTGATCTACTGCAGGATAAACGATCCAGAATGAATTATAGCCATGTTCTCTCTTCACATACGATTCCCATACCAGAACTCAAGATTAGCTTTAAAAGATTCATATCTTTTGTATTGTTTGTGAACTTTCGTTCAGAGTTTCACCTGTCTGCTTCTCTGACCTTCGACCTTCTGTAAGTCTAAGAGCAGTTCTCTATAAAGGTTGGATTTTCCTTTAATTGTGATTTATTTTCACTCTTTGATGTACATATTGTAAATGAACCAGCTTTGTACAAAAAATTGCAGTAAAACGTGGCTTTCATTTTTGTTCTGAGAAACAAAATGACTAGTGAAAGGAGCCATTAAAATGTACATGTATTATGTATATTTATGCATTCAAAATTATTGTTGTCTGTGTCGTTTGTGGTACTTAATGATAAGTATTTTTCTTCTACGTGTGTGTAGTATTATTAGTAACCATACCATGTTTCTGAAAGGATAGTATTTCATCTCCCCATCACTCTCTCTCTCTCTCTCTCTCTAGGTCCTTCTGCTATTTACGTCTGTCTGTCCATCTTCCCTCTCTCCCTACTCTCTCCTTCTCTATCTCTGTCTCTCTCACTTTCTCTGTCTCTCTCAGTCTTTTACTATTTTAGCCCAATATGTCTCACTCTGTTCTTCCCTCCCCACGTTAAATCCACTATATTTCCCTTTCTCTCTCTCTCTCTCTCTCTCTCTCTCTCTCTGTAAGCTCCCTTTTTAAAATAACTTGTTTGTATGCTCCAATTTATCTTGGTTAATATATTCTAATCTGTCTATCAGTCTATCTCTCTATCATTCTAATTGTCTATTAGTTCGTCTGTCGATCTGTTCATCCACTACTTACCTTAATCGTGACTGAAGGCAACATGAAAATTGTCCTGTATTGAATCGAAACAATTAATAAATTCATCTGCAAGAACTAATTAGTCCAGGAATACAAACCCTCACGCCATTTACGGTCATCTTCACAATTAAACCTCGTGTCTACTTCGGTGTCAACTCTGTCTTAAAGTCATCCCTTTTTTTTTTGCAAAGCTTCTGCTGAACTTTGGAACAAACTACCTTACCATGTCAAAAAACTGTCAGACTGTCAACCAATTCAAAACATAATTTGATTCGAATGGTCAACAAGCTGACGCACTTCCGCTGCTTAATGTCTAGTTGATGCAATGTTTATTTGAATAGTTTCTATTTCATGTCAATTTGTTTATATTTATCTTTAACTGTCCATACAGTGTCTACTATTCGCGGACTGTGCTTATAAAAAAGGCAACATATCTGACAGTGTATGGACAGCAATAAACGTGATATTTAGGGTAAAGATATGCTTATAAACATGCAATAATGATGATGATGATAATAATAATAATAATAATAATAATACTTATTGATGTTAATAATAACAATACTAATAATATTAATAATAATACATAATAATGAATACAAAAAATAATGATAATAATGATAACAGTAAAAATTAAAAAAAAAACTAATGATAATAATGATATTGATCAAAACAATGATAATAGTAAATGAAGTAATAATAATTTTGATACAAATAATAATGATCACGAATGCAATATAAAGCGCGTGTTTCTGGCACCATAATTAGCGAAGAGTATGATCTATGCTAACAGTACCTAAATTTAGTTGCGTTTCATGCCATAAATACGATTCGTAATTATTTCACAATACCTCAACATTTGGGTGTTTTCTTTTTCGACCAGCCTTTTCATTGACAAACCACTGAATAACAAACAAGTAGGCCTAAATGATCTCTAAACTAAAAGTAGAATGGAATGGAATTGAACGACAATAACTACGACTAAATGGAAATGAATTATCGTTGATTAAATAAATTTTCCGTCCACGCTCCGCAAATTCAGTGGCCCATTTATTCTGTAACCTTGTACTTAGGAAAGGATATTGTGTTTATTTATCGGTCAAATAAAATTTTCCATCTGTGCTCCATTGACATTTCATTTCCTAATTTGCATTGTGAGCATAGCTAGTAGATACAAACGCATTCTCTTGAATGCTATCATTATTTTTGTAATTAGATTATCCAAAAACTCTGTGGAAACAACATTTCCCATACGATGCGGTAGGGTGGGGGCGGGTGTGCAGCTCCCCTGATTATTTTGAACGAAATATCTATATATTTGGCAACCGTCATATCCCGGCAGCAAGATGCTAGAATAACGTCATTTTCGATTATGCGGCTATTGCTTGAATACTTCGTATGTGGTGTATTTTTCATGACGAAGTAACATTTTTACCAAAACAAGGTATACTTATTTCTAAACGTTAAAAACTTAAAAATACATGTACATAATAAAGGGGAAAAGGGCTCTTGTCAGTTATTCTAAATCTTTTAAAGGAAATGTGTATGCCAGTTCTCTACCCTTTTTGTCACGGTGTCTCTCAGAGCCCCTCCACTCTGCCCATAAACTCCGAGTGACGCAAATTGAATTTTACAAGTATTGCTTTCTGCAACAACAAAAAACAAAATACATCGTCCAGTACATTGTCTTTATTAAGAGTTGCGATTAATCCAGTTAATTCGAAAATCCTCCGATCAATCTCAGACCTACATATTCCCATCTCTCTGGTACACAGTGGCATCTCTATGGGTGCAGGAGGCACTTGCATTTGAAGATTTAACAAAAGTGAGAGGGCAAAAAAAACGTAAAAGAGAGAAAAGGAAAGGACAGACGCATAAATCAAAGCTCATCAAAGCTCCTTATTTCTTCATGATAATTTTTATGTAGACTGTAGGAAGTTTTCAAATAAACAGACACACATGGAACAGCTTTCATAATGATAGATCATAGATACATGTACTTTTCAAGCCGCATAAAGACTCCTCAAATCTCCTCATTTCTTCATGATATATGTAGACTTTTAGGATGTTTTCAGAAAAGGGTGGATACTTTCTTATCAAGTTTTGAATGGGGTATATATTTTATGGATTCTGTAGACATCTAGATTTTAAGCTACATTTCAACCTGTGATTGTGTTGTTACAACTGTATGCATACATTTACAAAATGTCTTAACTGACTCAGTGAATCCATCATTTTCAAATGAATTTGAAAAAAAAGGGTTATGGAAAATTTAAGGGACCATATGGTATTCAATGTCACAAAATGAATTTTCAGATTGGATTCCGAAGGACATATGAAAGTCTATTCTGACTCGGTGAATCAATCATTTTGAAATGGAATTGAGAAAAAAGGGTTATGAAATATATAAGGGACCATACGGTATTTAATGTCACAAACTGAATATTCTGATTGGATTCCGAAGGACATATGAAAGTCATTATCATGCACTATCACGCATATTATCAATTAATCTTCCGAATTTGAAATTGCCTTTCTCCGGGACCGAGAGTAGGTTACCAGTCCAAATATAAACTTCAGCATCCCAAGAGCTGTTTCATATTATCTGAGCAGTGGCTACCTATACCTACACACCCCATCATCATGATCTGTGCATTGAGTCTCGTGCTTGGTTTGGCAGTCTTACAGGGTGGTAATGGACTCACCGACGATGAGAAATCACAAATCCTGGCTAAACATAACGAGTTCCGTAATGAAGTACAACCACCTGCTGCAAACATGTTAGCTCTGGTAAGTTTTTATATATACGATACTTGCTGATCTTGCAACACCTGCACTTGCTCTTGCGAAACTGGCTCCATGTCAATTTCCTACACTGACCGAATTCGTTTTCGGCCGCTGCCTCCTTTTTTTTCCTTTCACTATTTACTATTAAAAGTCACACACAAAAAATCCACACAAAAAAGCCATCAAAAGTATTTTTTAAACAGCCTGTGATATACATTTTGTTTAAATAACTTCTAAAGTGATACAAATCATTGTTTTGTCATACATTGCATCAGCATACTCACATAGCACAATATATGTGAATAAATAGGCTTGGCCAGCTATAATTAGCATGGCAGCCGTCTTGGGAAACATTGCAAAATAGTAAACAGTAATGCCCTACCTCCTCCAGTTTAAATGTCCGGACGAGAAACACATAAAAAAAAAATTATTTGGCCTTGTACCTAACCCTAACCATTTTCAAGATTTGCGGAGAGAGGCACAAACAAATTTGTTAAAATTGATAATAATGATAATAATAATAACTAGACTTTAATTCTTCACTTAGACGAATTAGGTGATACGTATTGGTTTACATAACGAAGAATGCATTACACGATATCATATTATTTTATAAAATGCTCCTCCCATAATGATCTAACCATATGTCAGGTTTCAATTGCTGTCATTTATGACTTAAGGGCGTAGGTCCCCTATTTGATAAGCATAGTAGCATACACATGCTTTAGCAGTCACGCAAAACACACATTGTCAAATTATTATTCAATAAAATCTGAGAATGTCTACTATTGTCTAGATCTATTATTTTTAAATTATTTTAAAAATAATTCCATAAATTGGGGTAAAACAAAAATATTCCAACTATATGAGCGTCAGTATATATTGTTTATGTTGTTTGTATATGTACGTCACTCGCCAGTGGAGGACAAATTTCTTTATTTTTTAAAAATCAGACAATGAATTATCTTGAATCTTGAATCTTGAATCTTGAATCTTGAATCTTGAATCTTGAATCTTGAATGTCCCAATTGCAGGCCAAAAAATAAAAAGGTTAGTTTTGAAGATTTTTTTAATTTTTGAAATAACCGGGTCTGGAGTAAAGACTGCGCGCTATACAGATGCTTTATTACAGGGTTTTAGTTTTGAACAAATTCGACAAAATATCCCTTCAAATTTATTACATTTGTGGGTAAAGTCATTATTACATTTGTGGGTGATTCAAAATTATTACATTTGTGGGTAAAGTGGTTATTACATTTGTGGGTGAAAATTATTACATTTGTGGGTAAAGTGTTATTACATTTGTGGGTGTTATTACATTTTAGGGTAAAGTGTTATTACATTTGTGGGCGTTATTACATTTGTGGGTGTAACGGGGAGGGGGGGGGCTTGAGAATGTCCTAAGGTGGGAAAATAACGACTATTAGTTGTCGAATCGACTTAAGAGCTTAGAGCCAGTAATTTTGGCCATTACAAGAAGTGGGTTATTGATGTAGGCACGCCTTGTTTTCACGAAGTGACGGTAGTGAGGAAAATCGTAACGCAAAGTGAATGCAATTTTTTTCACTACCGTCACTTCGTGAAAACAGCGACGAAATGCTCACGTACCCTTTACAGCTCATTTTATGTATGTTGTTACCAAAGAAGAAAAAAGCCAGTCAGTCACTCAATAGTGTCTGACAGTGAAGTCTAGCAAGTAAACGGGTTTCCTTTCATAATTTGAATATTAGGACACTGCTAACGTCTAAATTCCACAGATAGGACATGCATGACATATGTATTATTCCTGCAAAGTTCTACAGAATCGGCATGTAGGGTAGGAGCAGGGATTGGAGACCGTAGGGAATTGGAGACCACCAAGCTTGAACCCATCACTGTCTGTCCGTGTTGGCTCCAATATTGCTATAGCGCTATTTGTGACCTTTAGTAACACTAGTGCATATATCTAATTCTTTTCGAAGACTACAATGCGTTCTTTCTCCGAGAAAATTGACCAAGATAACCAATTTTGATCGTAACATTTTGCTCTGATACAAAATCACAATTTCCACTGAATGTTGTGGTGTATGCAGATATTTAGGGGTGGCTCTTAAAAAGTAGTTTTAAAAGGAAGTTTATGAAGTGTGCCAACCATCACAGAAAACTTATGGTCATTGTGTGTTGTGAATGGGTGTTTCAATGCACATTATGAATGGTGTCTGGTCAGAAGTGTGTGTAGGCGACACCATGTCCAAGATGGGTTCGTTGTTTGTGAAATCATATTGCTCCGGTTGTCTCATTTTCGCTCGCTGGATCATTGCCGGCACAAACGTATCTAGTTCGCCGTCACTACCAAACTAGAATGTTCCACTATGTTGCAGGGTGTATATATGATACACCAATATGCCCAATATGCCCAATATACCCAATATGCCCAATATGCCAATATACCCAATATGCCATTGGGTATGATGTGTAAACCGGGTGTGCGTAAATGGTGTGTTGGGGAGGGGAAGTGAGAGTGTCCATGTGTGTGGTAATTGTATGTGTGTCAACAATTAAAGACTTATACATGACAGATGGCTAATCATAAATATACAATGACGAGTAAACTGTGTACATCACAGTTCACAGATAAATGTGCCTTGAACGTATATAGCAGACGGCAATCGGCAATCAGACGACGTCGTCTGATCCGCCGATTGCCGTCTGCTATATGCGTTCAAGTCTTGATAGTGATTTTGTATGTGAGATTGCTTTGCTAAATATAAAATACAAGAACCTTGTCCATATCTTTAAACTATCATTGATATCTGATAATTAAACAGTTAGTAAAATAAACCTACCAAACTACATAATACAATGAAATACTTGACTGAAAGTAGGGGAGTTTGATGTGGTGCATAGTTGCACCCCTCTGTTAATAATCGAATAGTCCATGGTGTTCATGAATATTCATGTTTTTGCTTGCCTATACTAAGTGGAAAAATTACGGTGGGGGTTGGCTGAAATGGACATAATGAACAAATCAGAACTGATCTATGATAATTCATGCTTGTTATCCTTCGTGTGCTTGACCTATAACCTTACAATCGCGTAGCAAATTGAGTCAAAAGTTCGACTTGTTGCACATATGTTAAATAGGCAATGGCGAGCTTGCGACCTATTTTGATCAAATTACGGTGGGTGAACTTTCAAAAGTCAATGGGACATGAGGGTTTCAATGAAAGAGTGTTTAACGTACGTCGGGGTGGATGTGCTTTTTGTTTAAACAATTTTAACGATTTTTTGTTGGGTAAAATTCCATAGGCTAACATGTTAGGCTGCTGGACTGCTGTCGATAGGGGGCGTTGTCAAATGAAACTAAACGGAGCTATATGGTCGAGCATGCCGAGGACAGTCAATAGGGACTTTTAGATTTGCACAACGACAACGTGGATTGCTACGATCGACGTCCTTTTAATGCACTGCCTTGAATGGACGTCACACGTATCAGTCCACGCAAATCTAAAAGTCCCTAATGACCCGGTGCTGGTTGGTTAATTGAAGTTTATTTATTTCACAATTTACATTAAAATAACAGTTTTAATTCTTTTTTATTTATTTTTATACAGGCGTATAAGAGTATATTTCACACCAAAACAAAAACACAAATCAAATCAAGTACAATCTTCGGAAAATAAGTACGAAATTTCGAAATATATAGATGAGACAGACAAGGTAAAAAGATATCTGAAAATGTGGGGAGCCTAAATAAAAAGCATAGCTTGTATGTATCTGAATTTAAAAGGTATTATACGAGGCGAAAACGGAGTAGTATAGTATGAGATTCTAGAGACGTACAAGGAGAGTGAATTCGAGAAGAAAAGAAAAATAGAATAAAGAGTAAAGAAAATAATATAATAATGATAGTTTGGAGAAGGTGAATAAGGAAAGAAAGAAGAAGAAGAGGAAAACGAAAAAGAATTGGAAGAAGAAGAGGCAGAAAAAGAAGAAAAAGCAAATTGATGAAATCAATGGCATTGTAAACTAACATGTACAGAAATATATTGGGCCAAATTGTTTTAAAATCGTTTCAAAATTACAATAAATTCATTGGCTGCATGTATCTCTTTCAAAAAGTGTTTGAACTAACTATAACCATCCCATTTTCATTCAAATTGTATTTAAAATGTCTTGATTTGTAACTGTCTCTTATTACCTTCACATGTAGGTAATGAGAGACCTTTGGTGATGACGTCATTAATCATTGTTAACTTATTAATCAGTTACATCATGACCACAATTTTGTTACCAAATAAAGAGAAGAAGTTGCCAACTTCATGTATGCCACAATCCATAGAACGAGTCACCTGATAGTGAAGCAGAAGATGACTTTTCCTTACTAAAGTACATTCCTCGTCAAAATGAAGGAACATGAAGATCTGCATGTGTATTCGCTGTAAGATGACATGAACAACACAAGGTTTTAAACATTTTTAATTGTATGGTAGGTATTATGAATGTGTGTCTTGATATTATTAAGTTATTACTTTGTCTTTGTCACTCCCCCCCCCCCCCCTCGGCCACTCCCTCAGTGTTGACAATGATCTGTCAATAGTTGAATTGACCCATTTTCTGGGGGGGGGGTCGGTGACACCATAAGGGTGAGAGAGAAACATTATAATTTCATTTCCTGTTTATAAAGTGCGCCCTCTATTGAGAAATCATAGTGGTTTTGTGGCCCTTTGGACGCCATATTGGATTTCGTGGTTTCCTGAACCACTGCTTAACGTTCTAACTTATCCTAATGGATTCTATGAGCCCGAAAACCATAGCATAGACACCCCAATTATGTCTCTCAGATGGATAATAAGTGACTTATGAACCCGAATCTTCGATTTTGGTCCACTTTTAGTATGTTATTCCTGCATGGGGTCGAATACTACTAGAAACCGTTAAAAAACATTTTGTTGCAATTTTTGGGGGGTTGGGGTGTTTTTTCCCGTATATTGACCTGACTATATGAAAAATATTTGTTTATGATTATTCTCATTATGCAAGAGTTTCAACAGGATGGCTGTAATAGCGATTTAAAAGTTCTTTTTATCGCAGCCAAAAAGAAAATTTACCTGTAACAGTTTCGATGTCTATATAGTTTATTATTATTTTGGAGTGCAATATGTTGAACAATTCTTCTTCACTTCTTATCCCATTTTCATACCTTAATATGTAAGTTTGTGTGAATTCATTCTTTTATATAATTTTGAGCAATGCAACTATGTAATCTTTGTATGTATCAGTCGTTGGACTTTAACAACAAAAAAAAACTAATTTACTTTCAATGAAGCGACATAAATGAAATACAAAAGTATCCTATAATTGCCTCATTCTCTGATTACAGCGATGGAGCGAGAAGCTTGCAAATGATGCACAGTCGCGGGCTAACACATGCACAACACCGGGAGGCATGAGCGTCGCCATGGTGGACATCACAAGAAGTTTTGTTTCGATTATTGATTCGTGGAATAATGAGAAGGAAAATTATGACTTCAACCTCAACATCTGTTACAGTACCTGTGATCAATACACTCGGGTAAGTTTTAAAGCTCAAAACCTGTTATAGCCATTGACAATACTTACAATCAACAACTGCATTATTCATACCCTTACCAAGTTTGGTCATTACCAAGTTTGGTCATTATCAAGTTTGTGAGAAGAAAAAAAAAAATTCTTCCTTATTTATGTTTCCTGAAAATGTGACAAATTGCAGCTGATATTGCAGCTTATAAGTATTCAACAAAGACCCAAATTCAACCAGACTGAGTCCACCTTTCATTCTTCAGTAACGAAAAAACACACAAAAACATTAAATCAAAAGTAAGTAATATTATTATTTTTATTATCATTATTATTATCATTATCCTAATATATATGTTTCATTTTTGTACAAACAGATGGTGTGGGCTAGAACTTCTCTTGTTGGATGTGCCTCGGCTGAATGTTTTGAAGGCCAAGAGAAATCATTCGTCTGTATGTACGAATCCTTTTGGAGGTAATTTATTGTCATCATGGCATGATCACTGTTCTCATTTTTCTCGGGGATATTGACACACACACACACAAACACACAAACACACACTCTTTAAAAAAAAGGTTCTAGTTTATAAATGTATATATATATATATATATATATATATATATATGTATATAAATATATATATATATATTATATCTGGATACATGTACGCAATATATGATGAAGATAGAGAAGATTAATGCTTTAAAACCAACAGATTTATCAGGTCACGTAACCTAATAAAAACGGTTGGATTTAAGCGGATGAACTCCTCTATCATCATCATAGCGTACTTGTATTCACATATATATATATATATGTATGTATATATGTGCATTTGTGTGTATATGTGTGTGTGTGTGCGTGTGTATGTACGCGTGCGTGTGTGTTTGTGTGTGTATATAAAATCCAACAGTTTTAATAGGTTTTTTATTAGATTTGAAGTAAGAAACTGTTCTTTATATGTTTTTGCGTCATACTATATAAAGCTACTTTAATGATATTCGTGTGAATGTACTTTACCACTTTCATGACAACTCAGAGTGAAATAAATGACTTTAGTTCATAAAATCATGAGAAAACAAAGTTGTTCGGATCGAGTGAAACTCTACCCTGGACAGCTAGACCCAGTCGAGTTGTCCAGGGCCTGTGGTCGGGTTATCCAGTGTCGATCTGTCTGGTGGGCGGGCTGTCAGGACCTAGAGACATACTCATATATGTATGTACACTATAGTAAAATATTATGGAAATTCGCCCCTCATGGTTATAGAAATATATTTTTTTTAATTGAATAAAGATCCTCGTGAGTTTCAATTCACTATTACCGTTTTCAATTTATTTCGTCAGATGGTGAATTGAACATTACCAACAAGTGCAACAAACTGTATACAAAAAAGGAGTACATGACTATGTACTTTGCGTTGAAATGGTACATTGTGTATTGTTACATCATAGTCATAATCATTTCATATTTATCTTTCTCTACTTGTGGAAATATATATCGGAGAGACAGGAGAGATTTTAAGGAATAGAATGATAATTTATCGCCAACACATCAGAAAGAAAAACCCAAAACTTAATATAAAGTAAACATATATCGTAATGTGCAAAATAAAAAAAATTGATGCTGAATATACAATTCTATACATTGAGAACAGAAAACGAAACTAAAAGATAAAATCCCTTTTCCCTTCCCCCGAGAAAAAAGTACAATGCATTTTATTAGTAACTTTCAACCACAGCTGAACAAGCTTCAATTAAAAATAGTGAAGAATGATGGGAATATTAAATTAAACTTGTTATTAATGAGTTAAAGTCTTGATATTGAATGGTTCTTTATTTTTTTCCAGCATTTACAAAAGCATGCGCCCATACGAAAAAGGTTCGCGCTGTACTAATTGCCCCTATAAGCATGGAGTTACATATGGCTGCGAGAATAATCTTTGCACCTGTAAGTATTCAATTCAATTAAATTCAATTCAATTTAATCAAGGTTTATTTAAAGGGGAAGTCAACCCTGGGATTGAGTTGGTATTGATAAAAGCAGAAAATGAGAGAAATAGATTATTGACAATTTGAGCAATATCCGACTAAATTAGAAAAGTTATGAATTTTTGAAGGTGTCATCAGTGGGAAACGAATTGGCAACACTATGACGTATCATGCGAGCTCCTCTCCAATTCTCTCTGTACATAAATTTCATAAACTTTTATTTTCTTAGTAATTGGTGACAGAATATTAATTGTCATACGGGGGTTGTATAAAGACAATTATTTGCAATAATTATATTGAGGGTGAATTTATGATTGAAAATTTTCTGAAGGGAAAATATAATTTTTGGAAGTTTTTTAGTACAACCGTGGACCTACTATAATCAGGGAAAATTGGAGGAGAACTCATAATCATTGATTTTTATATAAATATTTTATCAAAATTTACATTTTTCATGGTTTAAATGAAGAAAAAAAATACTCTATATATTATCAATATAACTTGGATGCTGGTGTGCGGAAAAAGGATTTTTAGGAGGAAAATTCGAAATTTATATTATCAATATGAGAAAACAATTAGTGGATAGTGAAGTAATGACGTCACAGACTCATGAGTGAGTTGCCAATATGTCTTGTGATTTTCAAAGTTGTTCAAGTCATTAAAATTCATAACTTTTTTATTAGTTATCCGATTTTGCTCAAACTTTTTTTTGATTGGTTTGTCTGATTTTTTTTCTGCTTTTATTGAAAGTAAGTTTTTTTTTTAAACTGGACTTGCCCTTTAATTAGGTCAAGAAAGAAAGTCAAATACACATAAGTTTAAGTTTAACATGTTTTCATAATTATTCTCTTTTTAAGCGGATCGCTAATGACTTGGCAAGGCTGGCATGTCAACGAGATTGGACTGAACTACCCAACGTCAACACGTTCAAAGGACCTGATTATGTTTTAATTTTTCTTCTACTCATCAAACCGCCGTACAAACCGCGACGGTTTTCATTTTTTAAAGGGTAAAACCTGCTGGTTGTGGTTTACTTCAATTAATATATATAGAGGCCTTCTTTTTATTTTTAGTTCGAAATCTTTGTTGGTAATATCTATACTTTTAAAGCGATGTTATATACTGCATTCTATTCAACATTGTCTTGAAGACTACAATGCTGTTTGCAGACATGGGAATTCTGATTTGCTTTCTTAATCTTTACCGTTCATGTCTTTGTAACCATTATTTGTTTTTATTTGATGCTGTCTCTCTCTCTATTTTACCATTATTTAAATCTTGAATTTGTATATCATCAATGAATTTCATCGTTGAAAGTCATACTTCATTATTATCCCTAGCATATAACTTTATTTCGTTCATTCAATTGTAAACTTATACTTCGTTTAAAATGAGAATTCTTTTGTCACAGCCCCAAATGTATAAACCAAGTTAAGTCACGTTTCAGGGATTTCAGGGAGGACGTTTCTGAAATCAATAAAAGTGCCCTTGTATATACAGTGCGTCACAGAAAAAACGAAACCGAGAATTATCGATGTTTTATCTTAATAACAATTATAATTAATAAATGACACATATTTGGAGAGGGTAGATCCTCCTCTTTCATTTGATGCAACTCACATGATGCATATGACACGCATGAGTGATTAAAATCAATTTGAAGAGAGGGAACCAATAAGTCATTTGGCGGACGGTATCTGAATTTCTAAAGGAAAAATCATATTTCTAGAAAGTTCGGGTTCTGCCCTTTCATATGACACCTCAATCAGGAAAAATGAGCTAGGAATAACGAAGTTCTGTTCGTGTAAAGTAATGCATGCATTTACGTAATTTCATTAAAATAATTCGTTTTCACTGGCTGCCTGCCGTAGCAACAAGCAGAATTGACAAAATACTTAACTCCGTTTCGTTGACAATCAGCCACACATGAAGTCTTTCGTCTAATGACTTTTTGGTTCCCTCTCTTCAAATTGATTTTAATCACTCATGCGTGAAAGGAAAGAGGAGGATCTCAGCTTTACAAATACGTGTCATTTCTTAATTATAATTATGATAAAACGTCGATAATTTTCTGTTTCGTTCTTTTCCGGGACGCACTGTATATACGCAGCGCATGAGATGGCAATAGAAGGGTCAATTTTACTACTTTGGAGGGTTTTTTTCCGGGAGGGGCCAGTATAAATAGGCAATTTGTGCTTAAAAATAGAAATAACAGGATCATCAGAAAGGAGGAGGGGGGGGGGGGTTGTACATAATTCGCCTTAGGCAATAGGTCTATTCAAAATCTAGAAGGAAAATGTCTCAAAATTAGACCTCATAAATTGAGTATACTTTTATTAAAATAAAAATTAACCCACCTTATACATCTGTCAAAGTTTATCATTTGACCTGAATATTCGACCCTCTCTTGAAGGTATTTTTGGTAAAGTTATTTGTAAGCTCAACTTTAATATATTTTGTTGTATCTCTTCTGAATAAAAATCTGGTATTAAAGGGAAACAATTAAATGTCTTTGCATTTTTTATTTGTCTCAACTGGGTTTTGATTCATTTTTAAGTAGGCTGAGAGGCAAGGAAATATCCATATTTCCCCCCCCCCAAGGAAAGAAAGACCTTGTCGGTGATAAACACGCGTTGTCAAGGTTCGGTATAAAAATGTCAGAGGTAAAAATGCCAGGGGTAGAAAAATGCAAGAACTGACAATTCTACACCATCAATTTCGACAGATACATTTCCATTTTGCCTCCACTTTTCCTGTTCCTAGATCAATTAAAAAATAAACATTCGATGAAGCTAAATTTTCCAACCAAGATCACTGCACTAGATGTTAATTTTTCATTATTTCTTCTTCCCCCTTTTGCTCTGTTCTTGTGAGTTTTTCGACCTTATAAAACCGAATGTTAGTGTCGCTCCATTTCAAACTACGTCAGGTACGCGGGCCAGATGTGGCCCTCCCATGGGTCAGAGAGGGGGCACAGTGCCCCCTCCCCCATTATTTCAAGTACCCCAAAAGTGCCCGTTTTTACA